GAGAGAGAGAGAGAGAGAGAGAGAGAGTAAGAAAATCAAAGGACACACTAGAGATGCTCTTTTTAAGCTTCATAGATTTGGGCCCATTATGTGTGTTTGAGCATTTGTAAAAAATACTGATGGTATTATAGATAGCTAAGTTATTTAGAATAGGGATGGATCCTGGAAAGGTCAATACAGAAGACAACTGTGGCTAGAGGTATGTTCACTGAAGGCTAGGATTTAAGAAAAGAGGATTGACTACACCTGTATACTTCCCCAGGGAAGAACAGCAGTGTCTAATAGTCTAATGGCATCAATTACCTTGGGGTGGTGGACCAAACCTCCTTAACCCACTCTTTCTAGGAAAGTACTTGTTCATCTAATCTGTGCTTGCTACATGATTTGCTTTCAAATTTGATCCCCATTTAATCATTATTACTGAAACAACTATAGTTGTAATCTTATTGGTTGACCATAGTTTTGACCCACCTTTTACCTATCTTGTGACTTCCCATTGGATCAGTATTACTCAAGAAACTTACTTGTTGACTATAGTTTTGCCCCTCTTTGAATCTGCCTCACCTCATGGCTTTTTCTCAAAACACTCTTGAGAAGGCGGGTTGGTGTGCCATCCAGTTTCCAGGCCCCCTTCTGTCTCTCTGAGAGAAGCTTTTCTTTCTTTCAATAATTTTTTTCCTAGGTTTAACCTCCATCGTTCCTAGAATTCATTCCTTGATTTTAGAGAACATGAACTTGGCATTTTGGACATCTAGCACGTTGGGAGTTTCTTTCTCCTATAACAATGAAGGTTCTTTTTTCTTGATAAATTTGTTCCAGTTTAGCATAACTTGGGACCTTGACTTTTTTGGTTTAGTTTTCTCTCTCTTTTAATTTTTTTTTGAGACAGGATTTCACTGTGCAGTTCAGCTGGCCTTGAACACATGGCAGTCCTCCAGCCTCAGCCTTCCAAGTGCTGGGATTACCACCACACCCCGCTTCCTTTTTAATTTTTATTTCCCTTTTCTTTCCCTATTTTCTGTTTTTTTTCTTTCATTTTTACTCTATTTTATTTTTCTTGGTCCTATTTGTATTATTTTTTTAAACAAGTGTAATTGACGCACGGTATTATAATTTTAGAGCTCCCCCTCTGGGCACCTCTCTTGTTCCCTAGGGGGTCAGAAGTAGAAGGAGGCTTTCAGAGGGGGTTGAGGGAGGAGGAGGAAGTCATGTTAGGGAAGCTTTTTTCACTTGAGTAGATGAAACAGCAGCCTTGCAAAGAGCAACCAAGTTCTTATCAGGAAAACCTGCCACAGCAAGCTTCTCCGGGAAAATTAACAGCATACCATCTTTTATTCTCTTTTTGTCTTCTTGGCAGCAATCCGGGCTGACTCCATTCAGCAGGGCTTTCCAAACTGACCATTAGTTAATCCACCACCATTCTCCCTGGGTCAGCTCCATAACGGACACATTCCCTTAAATCACCGAATATAACACGTGATGTTAGATCTGCAGCAAGTTTATTTAATCGCTCTGTACTTTCTTTCTTCATCTGTGAATTAGATGATTAACCTCAAGTAAAATGCTTATAGCAGTACTAACATGTAGTGACAGAAATGTTTGCCATTAGAACTGAGTGCAGTGAACTGTACTCAGCAGTAGTGGGGAGAAAAACCAGGCTCAAAGACGCTTGGGCTGAACACATATATCAGTTGAGGAGGAGCACAGCAGGGCAAAGTCCAAAGCCAATTGCCTTAATTGGTGAAATGTATGAACTCTGCTCCACGCTGATATGAGGAGAGAGTGTGGGATTGGTGCAAAAGGGAGGGAGAGATGATATGGGTCAAAGATGACACCTCAGTTTGGCTTTCTCACCGCGGTCCAAAACTATGTTGGGGGCATGTGGAGGAGATGCAAGAGCTGGTGCAGAACACAAAATGAATCTTTGCTTTTAATGTAAATAAACATTAGACAAAACTTTTGAGGGTTTTCTTCTGAAATTTAGGCAGTACTCATGATCTTTGTCCTCTCGTTCTGATATGAAGCTATCTCTCTTACTGAGATGATATGAAGCTATCTCTCTTGCTGAACTTTCATTAGAGAAAGTAGAGGTCAACCAATTTTTAGAAATTAATACCAGTGTCGGATTCCGCCTCCACCTACCCACTCAGGGCAAATCAAGCCTTCTGTTACTAGACAGCAACTAGAGATACTCCTAGAAAAGTGAGGTTATTTATGTATTTGAGGAGTTGATATAAGATATTAAATTGCTTAAAAAGATAGAGGGTGGTGCATGCCTGTAATCCCAGAATTTGGGAGGCTGAGGCTGGAAGCTCTATACAAATTCAAGGTCAGCCTGAGGTATAAAGTGAATTCAAGAGCAATTTGAACTGCATAGCAAAACCCTGTGTCAAAAAGACAAAAGTTAAAATAAATAAGTAAATAAATATTTAAAAACTAAAAAAAGGATACAGAAGAGCTCTGTTGTCCACATTTTCTCTTGATTTATATTTCTGAATTTTTTATGTAAATATATACATAGTATTATGGAGATTGAGCCTAGGGCCTTCACATTGAGGTACATCCCTGGCATGTTAAAAAAGTTTATTTTTTACCCTGGCAGGCATGGTAGTGCAAGCCTGTAATCCTAGAACTTGGGAGGCTGAAGCAGCAGAATCACTGAGAGTTCAAGGCTAGCCTGAGCTACAGACTGAATTCAGCACAAGCCTGAGCTAGTGAATTCAAGGCCAGCCTGTACTGCATAGTGAGACCTGCCTAAAAAAGCCAAAAAATTATTTTTTTTATTTAAAGAAAAAAAAAAGACAAAACAGAAAGAAGGGTAGAAATAATACAGAATTTCAAAAACAACAACAAAAAAATAATACTAAGAAATCACTGGTTGATAAACTACATATTGTCCTCTTTTTAGAAATGGTTATTCAAGTTACAAAATCAAAATATAAAAGTGGATAGACACTCAAACATTGACAGTGTAAACCATTCTGTTCAATGATCCAATGTAAACTTAGCAATATGGTCATGTGTATATCTTCGTCTGAGAAATGTGTGTTCATCTCAGATCCATTCTTGGTGAGGGTCTTTGATTTTGGGAGGCTTGATGGTTTTTAATTCTTTATATAACCTAGATATAAGTCCTTTGTCTGAGGGGTTTCTGGCTAAAATTCTTTCCCATTCTGTGGGATTTCTTTTCACTTTGTTGGTGATTTCTTTTGAAGTGCAAAAACTTTTTAATAAGATGAAATCCCAGTTGTTGATTGTTTGAAGTATTTCTTGTGCGATTTGTGTTTTGTTCATGAATCCTCTGCCTACCCCTATATCTCCAAGATTTCTACTTACTTTTGTCTTCCAGTAGATTTAGTGTTTCTGTTTTAATATTTAGATCTTGATCCGTCAGCTTCATTTAAATTGTTTGGCAGTTTTCAGTAGAATTTTTTGTTTCTTGGGTATCTCTTTCAATTTGTTTCATGGATTCTGCTTGTTTTCTATATTGTTCATTCACTTTCCCATGTTCCTATATTTTTTTAGTCTATTTCTTCTCTGGCTATGCTGAGCAATTCTGTTACTAAGGTTGTTATTTCTGTCTTTGAATGGAAAACTATTTCTAATTTGATTTCCTGTATAGCCTCATGGATTTGTTTCTTTATTTCATTTGCTGTCTTTTCAGAGATTTCTTGTATGCGACTTTTAAAATCCTCTATTTCAGTGTCACCTATACCTGCTCCTGATGTTTGAGATTGCATTTTGTTTTTTCATTTTGTCATTTTCACCTTTTGGGCTAATATTTGGTCTTTGTTCAAAGTCGGTGGCCCACATGGAGTGGGGGTTGTGTGCAGGAAGCACGCCAGTTATAGGTGGGCTGGGCCAGAGGTCAGTCCACCCACAAAAAAATTATTTCTTGATTTTAATTTGTTTTGGCTTGAGATGGGATCTCTATGTAGTTCAGGCTGGCCTTAACTATGTAGGCAATTCTTGAAGTCATGGTGATCTTCCTGCCTCAGCCTCCAAGTGCCAGGATTACAGACATGTGTCACCTTTAAAATTTTGAGGTTGTGTTGCACTAAGTTGTTAAGATTCTCAGGCTGGGTTTGAACTTGGGATCCTCTTGCCTCAGTTTCCCAGTGTCGGGATTACAGGCAAGGCATGTACCACTATACCTGATTTATAAATATATTTTATATATTCATGATTTCATTAGAGTTCCAGTTTCTTGGATACCCCCATAATGTGACACTAAATAATGATAATTTCTTGTATTTTTATTTCTCATTATGTATTTTGTTATGCTTCATATATAACTGTCTGGCAAAGAAATATTCATAGACTTACTTAAGGTCATACAGGATATGGAACCTACGGCCATACCTGAAATCTCATTTTTCTTTGCCTGTTTCAGGAAAGGAGTCTATCTTCAACAATACGTTTCTCCTAGAACTTTCTATATTAATGTAGGGCAGAAAAATATGATGAATTTAGGACAAAAGGCACTTGAAGCCAAAGTGAAGATTAGTGTCAGGGTTCCCATCATGATAGGGAACAAACTGGTACAGATACAGCAATATTCAAGGTTCAAGCTGGCCTTAAACTCACTGTGGACCCCAGAATGGCCTTGAACTCATGCTTACCCTCCTGCCTCAGCCTCCTGAGAGCTGTGATGACAAGTGTGCACCACCATACGTGACAATCAAAGGGCGTCTTATATCATCTGTCTTTAGCATTATCTTTGGTTTCCTTAAGACTTGAGTAATGATATGAAAAGAAAAACCTGGCTAGGAAATGATAAAGCTATGAGTATCATTGGCTTGAAACTTCCTAAAACACCAAAGCTTCAGCAGTTGGAATCAGATCCACTGGTCATATACTACAGAAAAGCTTCAATGTTTAGAAGCAAGTACCTTGGAAGAAATGGCTCTGAGTGTGTGTGTTTGTGTGTGTGTGTGTGTGTGTGTGTGTAGGAGTAGGTTGGGTGGATAGGATAATTCTACCTTAAATATCCAAAATACTTTTTTCAAATCCATTTTATTGAAGGATAAAAAGAAAGAAAAAAAGAATAAAAATATTTCAAGGGGTAACAATGGTACATACATTGTGCAGTGTCATCCCCAAATTATTCACCTAGAGCACAAGACATCTACATTCAATTGTCCAAACAACACCAGCACAAATCTTTCTCTTTACTGAACTCAGAGAAATCAGTAGTGTAACTATTTTACTATTTTTATATACTTCTACATACACAAATACATGTTTTTCTTTCAGCTTGTCACACTAATGGAACTATGATGTTCACACATGTGTGTCTTATTTATTTTACTAATGAATATGCTCTCAAGTTGCATCAATTTACCTGTAAGTGTCCAGTTTATCTTTCTTTATGGCTGAGTAGTACTCCACTGTATAAAAATACCTCATCTTTTTTTATCCATTCCTCAGTAGATGGGCATTTATATTGTTTCTAAGATCTAGCTATGATAAACTGTGCTGCTATAAACATGGGTGCACGTATATCACTGTGGTATGATGTTTTTAATTCTCTTGGGAAGATACCCAAAAATGACCACCAATCCTAGATTTTGAGGAATCCCCACACTGATTTCCACAGTGGTTGCACTGGTTTGCATTCCCACCAACAGTGGAGAAGGGTTCCCTTTATAAACTTACTTTTGATTTGAAACTTTAAAGTATTCTCACATATTTTGTTATTTGTCCTTTTAGATCGTCTGATTTTGTTCTTTAGGATTATGAGTTATTTTATACATTAAGAATTTTTTTTTGTCTTTTTCCTTTTTATCGGTACTGGGGATCAAACTCATGACTGCCTGCTTGCAAGACAGGCACTTAATGCCGCTGAGCTAAATCCCCAGCCCCTATACATTAAGAATTAAAACCCAGGGAAGTAATGAAGCTTTCATGGAATTATATACAAAAATAAGGGAGAGAGGAAAACAGAGAGAGAAAGAGAGAGAGAGAGAGAGAGAGAGAGAGAGAGAGAGAGAGAAAGGCAGAGAGAGGCAGAGACAGAGACAGAGACAGAGACAGAGAGACAGAGAGAGAGATGATTGCCAATACAAAATCTTATTTATTACCTACGTATTAAATTCAAGCCTGAGTAATTTAGAAATAGAGACAAGAAGGCATAAGGCAGGGCTGTTAAACTTGGCTGCTCATGAATTTCCTTGGGGATTTACATCTTAGTCCTCTTTAGGAAGAGGAGCTGTGTGTCCATTCTCACCACTCCTATTCAATATAGATCTTGGAACTTTAGCTACTGCAACCTAGCAGAGAAAGAAATAAAAGGGATATGAATAGGAAAGGAAGGAGTCAAACTGTCCTTGTTTGCAGATGATATACTATTCTTAGAACAAGCTAAAGACTCTGCCAAATGATTCCACATGTAAGCGAGAAAATGTGATATTTAGTTTTCTATGTCTCACTTTTTTTCTCAATGTGATGATCTCTAGATCCATCCATTTTTCTGTAAATGATAAAATTTCATTCTCCTTCATGGATGCCACATTTTCTTTATTCATTCACTTGTTGATGGGCCACATTTTCTTTGCTCATTTGTTGATTGGCACCAAGGCTGGCTCCATATCTTGGCCATTGTGAATTATGTCACTGTAAACACAGGTATGCAGGTCTTCCTATGGTATACGCGCTTCCATTCCTTCAGGTCTGTGTCAAGGAGGTGCATACCTGGGTAATAGAGTAGTTTTATTTTTAGGGTTTTTAAGAGCCTCTATACTGATTTCCATAGTGGTTCCATACTTTACCGTTTTACCAGCTGTATAAAAAGGTTCCTCCTTTCTACCATCTAGCAAGCATTCATTGCTTTCTGTATTCTTGAAGATAGCCATTCTCACAGGGGCAACATGGAATCTCATTACAGTTGAGATTTGCTTTCCTCGATGGGTAAAAACTGAAATTTTTTAATGTACCTTTGTACTTTTCTTGAGAAAGGCCAGTTCTTTGCTCTTTTCCTGACTGGGCTGTTGGAATTTTTCTAAGACAGGGCCTCTTTACATAGTTAAGGCCAGTCTTGAGCTCACTATATAGACCATGATGGCCCCAAACTGATGACAATCCTCCTGTCTCAGTCTCCCAAGGGCTGGGATTATAGGGATGTGCCACTCTGCCTGGCTATTTGATTTTTTTGTATATGTTGAGTTTTTGACTTCTTTATACATTCTAGACATCAATCCTCTACTTGAAGAGTAACCAGCAATGATTTAATTCCATCCTGTAGGCCACCTCTTCACTCTGTTGGTTGTTTTCCTTGCTCTATAGAAACTTTTTATTTTTACTTATTCTCATTTGTTGATTCTTATTATTTTCTGTGCTACTGAAGTCATATCAGGAAGCCATTGTTTGTGCTTACAGCTTCAAGTGTGGCCCCTATGTTTTCTTTCAGCAGTTTCAAAGTTTGAGGTCTTTATTTTTTTAAATTGTGTGTCACTAGGGATTTACCACACATCCTTCACACTGAGTTATATCTCCAGTTGCTCAGGTTAGACTTGAACTTGCTATCTTTCTGCCTCAGCCTCCACAGTGCTGGCTAGGTTTACAGGTATGTACCACCACACTTGGTTAAAGAATCAGGCTTTATACTTAGGTTTTTGGTCTATTTAGAATTGATTTTGTACAGGGTGAGAGATAAAGATCTATTTTAAATCTTCTACAAGTTGATAACCATTTTCCTAGCATCATTGTTTAAAAGACTGTCTTTTCTTTAGCATATATTTTGGCTCCTTTTTCAAGAACCAAATGATTGTCATTGCATAGATTTGTTTCTGTGGTCTGTGTTCTGTTCCGTTGGTCTCTCTGATTCTGTGCTCGTATCATGCTGTTTTTGTTACCATAGCTTTGTAGTATAATTTAAAATTGGTGATACCTTTAGCTTTCTTTTTTTGCCTAGGATTACTTTGGATACTTTGCATTTTTTTTTGTATTTTCTCATGAATTTTGAGGGCTTTTTCCCCCCTACTTCTGTTCATTCATATTTTGATGAGGATAGACTGGATCTTTTGATAACTTGATAATATGGTTATTTTAACAGCGTTAATTCTGCCAATACACGAACCTGGGAGGGTTTTCCAACTTCTAGTTTCTTATTCAAGATTTTTTTTCAGTGTTCTGAAATTTTCATTGCACAGGTCTTCCACTTCCCTGATAGGTTGATTTCTAAGTTTTAAAATTTTTTATTTTGCTTTGTTTTGAAGCAATTGTGAATTGAATTATTTTCCTTTCTTTTCCAACTAATCTATCAATGTATAAAAAAGCTACTGAGTTTTTCCAATTTTGATTTTGCATCCTGCTATTTGTTTGAATCTGTTTTTCAGCTCTAGTAAGATGACAAGATAGTAGAAGGGAGGCTATCATTACACAAAGTAGAGATAAGGGAGTGTAAATAAGAGGGAAATTGGGAGAATTCCATGATGAGACTATTTACATTGAACCCTAACCTAAAAGTGAAATTGGTGGGGATGGGGTAAGGAGAGTCGTAGGAGGTATAAAATGAGCATGGTGTGTTGTACGCTTGTACAATCCTATCAGAACGAAATCCGTGAACCTGCACAATCAATATGTACCCACAGAAAGGTGTGGAACAAATCTTAGTACTCAGTTCCCATTCCCAGAGTCTGATTCTGACATAAATGATTTGATCTGTAATGTAAGCAGTGGAATTAATAACATACTAACACAGAGGAACAACACATTTCCTCAGGTGTAACTGCTATAATATTTTGGGATTATAATCTAGAGAAGGAAATTCAAAATGTGTACCATCTACCTAAATGAGTATGTAATATTTCAAGTTCAAAAAGCATGAAGCAACTCAGAGAAAATAACAACAATTAATAAATTAAGATCTAAAAACATATACTTTGCAGAAGGAAAATGAGAAAATCATACTGGAATCATAGGTAAGATAAGTTTAAGGTTACATTAAACTTACATGTCAGAAAATAATTCTCTTAAACCTGTCATACTTATGAATATGAATGTTATAGCACTGGTTATGTTATAATACTGACATTACATAGAATAAAAGTCATGTCTAACAGAAGAGGTCATTTTAAAATGTCATAACTTCAGGAATAATATTAATAGTAATAATAATTATTATAGGGATATTTTATTCCTATAATCATTATAATAATCATTTGTTACAGCTAGTATTAACTATGTGCTAGGTATTATTCTATGAACTTTATAAGTATACTATTCTTTTGTTTTGGTTTTGAGAGAGGTTCTTACTTTGTAGTTCAGGCTGGCCTGGAATTTTTACAATGAATTTTGTTTTGTTTTGTTTTTTGATAGTATTTAGAACTCATAGGAAATGACCACTTTTCAGAGGTATTTTCCAGAGTTTTGAGTCTGTAGCAAGATCCTACCTGTTCAATTTGTTGGCAATGAGAAGTTGCTGCTTGCTTGACCCAGTTCCTGGTTCTCTGGCACTGGCCCACTGTATTTTCTACGATCCTTAGGCAATCTCAGTCTTGGAATACCAGGAGCAACAGCTGGTTAGAACCATTATATCACTTTGGTTGAAGTGGTATAATCTGTAATAACAATAGCATCAAACACAGCCTAGAAAATGACAAACTGAAGTAGACATTAATTTGCCATCTTTAATCTTAAGGACTAGATTTGTGATTACAAAACAGAATCTAAAACAAACTAGAAAATTATATGCAGCAAATAAATCTTCAATATGTCAATTTTACCTTCAGGGGAGAAAAAATAGAGAAATAGGAGAAGAGGAAGAGATTAGAAGCAAGGCTAGAAGACAAAGGGGATCATGAAAACTTTGGGAAACTGGTGCAGAAGACAGGAGGGAAAGAGAGGAGGAAGAAATGAGAGAACAGAACAGAACAGCAACTACAAAGGAGCTAGAAATCACATTCATACTCATATGAAAACAAGATTTTAAAAATGAAGGAGAAAAAAATAAAAACAAAACAACATAAAACAAGAAGAAAGAGAGACAGAGAGAGATTTTCTTCTTGCTTTTTTTTTTTTTTTCCTGCTGTCACTGGTAGACAATGTGTGGAGAAGTGGAGTCCAGATCCATGTTAATTTATCCCGGCCATCCAACAGTACCTTTATGGCAAGATAGTGGATAATCTCAGTGAGCCTGCACCTTTATTTTCCCTGAAGTTCAGGCTGATTTCTGGTTGTAAGGCTGGAACCAGCCCCATTCAGCCTGTAGCCATCAGTGTACCTTCTGCAGCTCGAGCTTAGCTTGGAGCCGATACACAGATCCATCAGTTGTTCTGAGTTCTGAGCTCAGCCAGCCCCTCTCCAAGATGGCTCCTGGTCAGTTGCTGTGTCCCACAGGACAACTGAGCCCTCAGCACTCACTCCCAACTAGCACAGTCTTTCATATGTACTGTTCCTTTCACTGCCGTGCCTCTCTGTGGAGGCCTCTAGTGATGCCAGCAGTCACTGTGTCCGCAGGTTTGAACTCATTCTCTCAGGCAGAGTCCCAACTCAGAGAGAAGGCTCCACAGGCTATCTGCTTCTTGATTGAAGTTTTTCTCTTCATACTCCCCTTGGGCTTCAATTCTCACTTTAGAACTTTCCTGAGTCCAGGTGACCCACTTTCCTCCTTGTCTGTCTCGTGTTGCTATATTCCACTGTCTGGATGGCAGCTCCCAGCTCCCAGAGGCTATTTCTCAGCCTCTAACTACTCCACCATCTTCCTGGAAGTCCTTGTTTTGTTTTGTTTTTTTTTTTTTTTTTTTTTGAGACAGAGCCTCACTATGTAGTTCAGGCTGGCCCTGGACTTACTGTGTGGCCCAGGATGGCCTTGAACATGTGGCAATCCTCTTGCCTCATTCTCCTGAGTGCTGGGATTACAGGCATGCACCATTACGTGTCTAACAAATACTCTGAGTTGAACAATATATCACATACCCAGTTTGAAAGATGAGCAAGCCGGGCAGACTGTGGTGACACATGTCTGTAATGTCAGCACTCTGTGAGGCTGAGACAGGGGTTCCACAAGCTCTAGACCAGTGTGGACAACTCAGTGAGACCTTGACTTAAAAAATAAAATGTCTGAGGATATAGCTCAGTGCAAAGGCCCTGGTTCCATTTCTAGAACCCCTCCTCCCCCAAAAAAGACAAAGACAAAGGCAGAGATTAGGCACTGCTGGGTCACTGTGTGGATATATCACGATAATAAGTCAGATATAGCAGAACAGCAAGTGCTTACTACTTAGGAAAATATACACATCCACACCTGCTCTTGGATCTGTACTTTTTGTTCATTAAATTTATTCTCCAATGCTTCTCTCTTATCATTTAATAAGTCTTTTTACATTTTAGTTTTTTATATGCTTGTGTTAGGAAGAAGAGGATTTTATCCACCTTTAGGCCACGTGTGCTCTTGAGACTGTTTTGGGGGGCCAGCAGTAAGCAAAGTGGAAGAATGAAGGGACCCTGCTGTCTGGGACCGTAAAGGAACTCTACCATGTTGTTCCTCTATAGTTGTTGCTCCTTCCCTGTTTCTTCTGGCAATCACTGGTCTAGTATTTTCTGTCGCTCTAATTTTATCATGTTTGAAAATATTGCATAAATGTAATCCTATAGAGATAGATAGGCTTTCCTCACTCAGCATAGCTCCACCTACCTGTTGCATTTAGCAATACTTTGTTCCTTCTTCTTGCTGAGTACTATTCCTAACAATAACCTTTCAAATATGAAACACTTCACATCACTCTCTGCCTGTGGCACTTCAGCGGTGCCTAGGATGAAACAAGCAATACTGAGCGTGGCCCGAAAGTCTCATCAGGACCGCCACTGGCCTGCGTGGGAGGCGCCGTTTCTTCCTGGTTTCCTTTTCCTTGCTACTGTCCAAATACGCTGACCCTCCAGTTTGAGAACTGCTTATTGTTTGTCTTACTTTACTACTCAGGGAAATTTTCATGATTTCTTTCTCCTTTTAAAATTTAACATTTATTTAATTTTACTTTTCGTTAGTACACCTTTGCACTACCTAATCATTACATTTAATGTGGGAAGTTGGTACGTGGATATTCATAACACATTTTATAGCATCCTGTATTTCTCCTTCATCGCAAAACGTTTGTTTCAAATTTTTGATTATTTAACCTCTAAATGAGTGACTTGGGCTGAGGTTAGTTTCCCGAGAGCGAATTGTTTAAGATAAACTGGTTATTCAGGTATACTCAGGCATAAGAGACTAATTCAGTTACAGAGTAAAATTTAGGCAAGAATTAGCTGAGTTTCGGGTGTGGCTGGCAGGTCAAGGGTCAGTGGGTGATTTGCAGGAGGGATGAAGGTGAGAGGGGACAAGATGATTGTCATTAAACCAGGCACTGGGCCAGCAGGGTTGGGTTTGTCTGCGAGATCTTTCCATTCCTAGCAGGGGTTCAACAACAGAAATGTAGAACAATGTTTCAGTGTTATTTAAGAGGATTGTCTAGGCAAATAGAAGACAAGGTCCCATTACCAGTATGGCATTCAGGACAAAATTCCATTTTTAAGGAGGTTTGAATCCTAAGCATGGGCAGACTTGTAAAAGTGGGTCAAGGTTACATCTTCCCAAGTGGAGAAGTATTGCCACCACCAGGACTGGCCCGGGATCTGAGTGGAAATTATCCAGTATATACACGTTATCAAGGGAACCAGCTGCAAAGTGAAGAAACTTACATGCAGAAGAAATGGAGCAGGTACTAATAGCTGTTCCCTAAGTACTTAATAGATCCCTGTCCAGCATTCTTTCCATTTTTAACCTTATTTTACAGCATTATACCCTTTGGTTTATCCTGTTGAAATCTCTCTTCCTTAACTTGGTTGTCAAATTCTGAAATTGACCAGCAGCTATAATACTTACGTTGTCAAGTAAAACCTAGGTGAAGTGTGAAGAATTAATGAAAAAAATACATTAATTTTTATGACTTTAACTTCCTCTCCCCAAGCAATAATGCAGGAATGCATATACTTAGATTTTATATTATATATAATATATATTATATATTAGATTTATATATTATATATTAAAATACTATATATATATATTTTTATTTTATGTTTGGTGAGACAAGGTCTCACTTTGTAGTCTAAGCTGGTCTTAAACTCATTATGTGGCCCAGGGTGGCCTTGAACTTGTGATGGTCCTTCTGCTTCACCCTCTTGAGTTCTGGGATTACAGGTGTGTGCCACACTTGGCTATGTATCTTTATTTGATTAATGTAGTTATGTGACTACCTCCCACCCTGTGAGCCAGATGAAGAAAGAAGGGAGGAAGAGAAGAACTAAGATTTATGGGCTGCAGTGCTAATATACTAGTAGGCAATTTACATGAATTGTGTCATATAACTCTCTACCATCCTGGAAGATAAGATTTTTTTTTTTGATATCAGGGATCAAACTCAGGACCTTGCGCTTGCCAGGCAGGCGCTTAAACCTCTGAGCTAACTCCCTGGCCCTGGAAGATAGATTTCATCATCACCACTTTCCAGATGGGAAAAATGAACATCAGAAAACGGAAATACTTTATGTAAAGTGAGAATGAGAGTTAGAAGGGAGATTTGAATAAAGCCAATCTTGAAAGCTCCCTCTCTTACCAATGCACATAGGAAATTGTGGGCAGGGGAGGGTAGGTGCTGTCCTGACACGGTTAGGGAGATGCAGGAGAAGAAAGTCTCTGGAATGGGACAGCCTGTGTCAGAACAGAGTCAGGTGAGGTAAGTGATTGTGGGGCAAGACCTTGGTCTGTCCCTTTTGTGGCTGTGAGTGACTTCCTGATGCTCTTTGTGCTTTTTTACTGCCTTTGGGATGGATGCAAGTTTCCTGATCCCTGTAGTAGGAAGAAAAGGAATGCCAAGGTCAGGTGTCATGACTGGGTGCTCTGGGAATCTCCCACCAAACCACAAGTAGAACTTCACAACCCTGACTGTTATCATAGCACCAAATCTGGGTGACCCCTCCGTCAGCAGCCCCTACACTGCACAGAATCCGCTGACCTGCTCCGGATGGAGGGAAGCGCCTCTTGACTCCTGGCTACGTAGCATGAGGTGGTGAGCTGCTCCCGCAGGGCAGCCTATCCACTGTCCCAGGCCTTTGTTATCATTTACCTGAGTGCCTTCTGTGCACAGGACCTTTTCTGGGGCACACCCTGTATGACACAGCAGTGAGGTGAGGGCAGCTGAGTAGATTTCCTTATTGTGCAATCTCCTGTCCATCTGTGTCTCTGCCTGCCTGGGCTGTGGCTCCCTTATCAGACTGAGCAAGCGTGAGTGTGTGTGCGTGTGTGTGCACGTGTGTGTGTGTTCTTACAGTCTTGTGTAGACCATCCACCTGTTTTTCTCAGCTTGGGCCCTCCTCTCTGCCAGTGTGCCAGAACAGGCTGGAAGACTGGTCAGCGAACAAAACAGATCTCCTCACTTACAGAAAAAACCACCAGGGGAACTTTAAAGTGCCGGAAGTGCCTCTAGAAGGAAAAGCTTAGAATGAATCCCCAGGAAGGAGACCAATCCATGGAAATCTTTGGAAACGCAATGTGGCTGACAGCAGCGGGAACAAAGCGCTTGAAAGAGGGGGCAGGCAGCTCCTAGAGGTCTCCTCTGCTGTGCCGATCAGGTAGGGAAAGAAGACCGAAGGGTAAGAGTGGGGGCTAGAGACACTTGTGTGTACATTGGGGGCTGGGTGTATATTTTTAACTTTTCCCCTCTTTTTTTGTGGCCCGTCTCCTGGGCTAAGGAAGCTAGAGATTATAAAGAAATTGTTTTTATTTAGTGATCCAGGAAGGCAATGTAATCTCCAGAAGAAAATCTAATGTAGGATATATTATTTCCAGGCTTCTGAGATGGGAAGGTTATAGAATTGGGAATGTAGGGCTAGGGATTTAGCTCAGTGGCATAAGTGCCTGCCTGGCAAGTTTGAGGTTGAGAGTTCAATCCCTGGTACAAAAAAAAAAAAAAAGAATAGAATTGAGAATGTAAAAAAAAGAATGACAATTGTAATACAAATAAAACATTTTGAATTTGTATAATGCCTCTGAGGAAATAAGAGATGTCTACCTGTGTCATCATATTTAAAGTCTGACGCAGTTTTGGTGTCTGTGAGCGCTGGTGTTGTCTCACCTAGAAGTTATGTAGCCTTTCTATCTTGCAATCACTTGTTGCTCTACAAAGTAAATTTTCACGAGGTGCCAGGATACAGATTAGGCTTTCTTGCCTAGACTGTGTATCGCATGGGCTTCAGGAATTCCCAGATAGGTGAAAACAAGAAGCTAGAAAAGCCGATAACACTCAGTCTTATTATCAAAAGACGTCTTAAAAATCCTGGGCAGTGCAACAGAGCCTCTTTCTTTCCCCAAGGTTTCAAAGTTCATTTCAAGCCCTGGGTCTCCCAGAAGGTGGGAGAGGGGAAAATGGGAACAAATCAGTCTGTCAGTGGCAGAGCAGAGCAGAACAGGAGGGCAGAGGACTTCCTCCGTGCCCAGTCTCATCCCTGCTGGGAGACTCCTTGAGCATAAGGCAAGTTGCTTATACAAATTTGCTGAGGTGGATTAGGAGGGCTCTTTGGCACTGTGCCCTCCTGTGCCCTCTGTGTCCCCTCACAGATTTGTTTCCACAGCAAGGCAGAGTTGGATCACTGACAGAGCTCTGTCCCATGGTATTTTAGGACCTTTCCTGGCTCTTAGGATTGCAGTGAAGGATTGCTATTCTTAGGACCTAGGATTTTTCACTCAAAAAGCAGGAGAGAGAAATAGAATTTAGGTCAGAAAAAGAAAATAAACTCAAGATTCCATATTCTGAAAAGTACTGAAAATAATTCTGGTTTTACCTTCATTTTTGAAATGTTCTTTGAAGAAGGAGATGGGAACATAATTTATGTCTGTAATAAGAACATTAGCACACAAAGAACATTTTATGTTCTTTCCAAATTGTAGTGTATTTGTTGGTAACTTTTGGTTTCAGTGACTTTTGATGCTTTTCTTGTCTGCATTTGCAAAGCTAGAGATTGAACCGAGGGCCTTGTGCATGCTCTGTAAGCCCTTTACAACTTAGGTGCATATATCTTTAGCCCATGACTCTTGGAGTCTGACATAGTTCCTTCTGTTGGTGTTGTCCATTTGAATGATAAATACGTATGTCTAATAGTTTCAGGGACATTTGGTTTGTAGGTTAAAGACCTGACCTGGGTGTGAAACCTTGCCCATTTAGGCACCCTCTCTTATTTTTTTTTTTTTCACATGGTTACTTCATAACTTAATCCCCCATTACTAATTCCTCAGTTTCTGCCTTTCCTCTTTTGTCTGAAAGGATCTAGTACAATCTCTGGCACAGTGTGGCTGTTGAAAAGAGTTTTATGGGACCTGAAAAGGACAGCTTGTTTTATAGGATATTGGAGATAAATAAATCTGGAGTCCCCTACATCTGAGTGGCTCTTCTCAATATTACTACTGATTTAATATTTTCACCCCAATAGCGAGGTTTATTTCTAGACAGACTGAGAGTAAGGAAGAAAGAGAAAGGAAGTAAGGGAGGAGAAGAGAAGGCTGAGTGTGCAGCAAGACAGACTTTCTCCTTCTGGGGGCTACTGCTTCCGTCTGTCTTACCCTCCTGACTAAGTCTTTGAGATCTGTACCCCAGAGCCCAGGACCCCTGGTGACTCCCTTGACCCAGGGTGGCATACAGCTGCCAGGCTGAGGCTCTTCTCTGTGTCTATGAGGAACACTGCTGGGAGGCCCACACGTACTGAGAAGCAGAGCGTCAGGCTGAGGGTGAGGCTGGTGAATCCTACTTACCCGGAACAAGGCCAGATGTTGTTCTCAGGTCAGTTGGGAAATTTTTAACACTACCAAAGCGGGCAAGAAGACTCCATGAAAAGGAACCAAAATTTAAAAGTCTATTTTAAAAAATTTTATGGAAAAAATAAAGCAAAATTTCATAACAAAATAATAGGAGACTAGCAATATTAATAAAACCCAACTATTTCCCTTCTGGGTATCTTCTTGGAAGAATTAAAGAATCATACCACAGTGATATATGCACCCCATGTTCATAACAGCATAATTTGTAATAGTTAAATCTTAAAAATCTTATAAGTCGATCTTTATGTTGAGATGAGTTTCTTCTGGAAACTCATGCATAAGTTGCTGATTGTGTCTGGGAAATGATATTGTGCTAACTAAACAGAAATGTCACTGATAAGAGTCGTATTCTTGCAAGTAGAACTCTCACTGTGTGAGTTAAAACAGACACAGAAATAGAGCACTATACTTGTGAGTGTGGGTGAACATTCAGAGAGTTAATATGACTCTTCAGTTTAATGATAGTTATAACCACTAACTTTTATGGTCTCCAGCTATCCAAATACCTCGGGGCATCCTTCACTTTCCAGTTCACTCTCATTCTCTTCCTATTTGTGTCTCCTTCTTCACTGTGTTATTTCCCTCTCTGAATTCTCAATTCAACAGAGGAAATAAATGTGCATGCAGGGCTTCAGATTACTTTGTGCAATATGCATTTCCTTAAAAATGCTAAGAAAAAACCTGAAGTAACTGAAAGGAGAAAAATCAAGGATGAACAGCCACAAATGAGACAGTTCTGTTGTTTCCAGTAGAGTCCTGGTTGAAGAGATTTGATGCACTGTCCATGCATGTTTGTGCGAACTTTTGGGAAGCTGTATACGAACATCTTTTGGAGATGCCAAACAAGTTATCAGAATAACAATTTCATAACTGCATTAGATCCTTTATTCCAGTGTCCTAAATTTTATTTACAAAACACTAGCCATGGCTCATGCTTTATATAGATGAGTATTTTACAGGCTAGCAAAGAGATGAAACAGTAGCTGATATACAGTTTTTAAAGTTGCTATCAAATATTACTGCAGAAATGTTGTCCAGAGCCATTTCTTCTAATAACTGAAATCAAGACAGTCCTTTTTTGCAGCTTGATACAGAGTGGGCAGGGAAAGCCATGTGGTAACTGAGTATGCATCACAGGGAGAAAAGTGGAACAGGAGCCACAAGCAAACGCGAGCGTCTTCTGATATATGAAAATGTGGTGAGGTTTCCTGTGTAGGCTCTCATGGATATGTGGTATCGCCGGTGTGTCTACCTTATGCTGGATGTACTGCTGGAGGATACATGGTTCTAGCCAAACTGTAATGACTAGAAAAATTATATTGTACAAATATCTGGAATGCCCTTTCGTTGAGTGCACCTCATGGCCTCTTATATTTACCTCCATGGTCTGGATTCATTAGGCTGCTTGATGTTAAATTACCCAAGTCTTTACCCACAACAGATAAAGAACCTGGTAAGAACCTGATTCCAGAACCTGTACAATAGAAAGTCATGTTGCAGCCAAAGGCAGGTGTTCTTTGTTAAGTGGGACATCCAGGTAGCAGAGTGTCCACTTGGGAACGTCATGTGCCTGTAACTGTGTGACTGGTGAAGAGCAGTTGAGTGTGGGTTGCTGTGCACACAGGGTTTCAGATTACTTCCCACAGTATGCATTTGTGGGTGTGTAGTTTGGTTTCTGGGCAGAGCTCACGAGTCTGAGCTGGCTGCCGACCGAGCCTTTTCCCCACTTGTTCTTGGTACAGATGTTATGCTCACGGTACCTACTCCCCAGAGAACCAAACTTGTTGAACTGGCTGGTCCCAGAATAAAAATAATTACATCTGATAGTGCCCTGAGCAGGAAGCAAGAGGAAAGAAAATAATGATAATGGCAATAAGAAGTTTTCAAGTAGCCTCCGAGTTCTCCAAAGCAGCCAAGCTAATGTTTAATTTTAAGACATCTTTCGCTCCGCCTTTCCCAGTGCTGTTTATTGTGCTCTTGCTATTATTTTTCCTTCCATACTGTCTCGTGTGTTGTGGAAATTTTCTCAGCTACTTTTGTTTTGACTTCCTTGTCTTTTGAATTACGAACTAATTGAGGTGGACTTTGCTTCCTAATTCTCCTTGATTTCATAGATCCCGTGCAGTGTAAAACTCTACAGATGAGAACTTCTTTCTCCTTTGAGAAATTTTCCCTCATTCAGCTTCCTGTTTACTTAGGCTTTTATCAAAGAATCACACATTGATCTCTCTTTTCATTTGTCGGGAAATTGTTTAGCTATGATTCCTCCATGAAGCTCCAGGAAGACCCTTCTTAAATATGAAGCGGTGGGATGGGAGCTGGGGGGTTTCTTTGCACAGATCTTGCAGGCACAGATATTACATGGTGCTAATTAGCAGCAGTAATAAAACACAAAATGTAATGGAAGGCTCCTAAAATATGGCTGTAATACGTGTACAATATACCCTCATGTATAAGTGATACTTTTGACTTTTTATCTATTTATCAAGTCATTATAAAATTAGATCATCTAGGATCATTTATGTTGGAGAACAGATAGCCTCTTTCATAAATGGTGCTGATAAAACTGGTTATATACTTGTAGGTCCTTACCTCTCACACTGTACAAAAATCAATTCAAAGTGGATTGAAGACTTTAGCCTGAGACCTGAAACTTTGAGCCTGTTGAATGAAAGCATAGAGGAAACACTTGAGGCCATCAACATAGGCAAAGGCTTCCTGAATAGGACTCCAAGAGCACAGTGAATAAGCAAGAATCAACAAATGGGACTGCATCAAAGTAAAAAGTTTCCATGTATCAAAGTAAACAACCAACAGAATGAAGAGACAGGTTACAGAATGGGAGCACATCTTTGCTAGCTACTTTTCTGACAGAGGAGTAACATCTAGAGTACATAAATAATGCAAAAAAAGAAACATCAAAGAATCAAATAGCCTAGTCAGTAGGTAGTCAAATGAACAGACCCTTCTTAAGTATGTAGGAACAATAAGTATATGAATTACACTTATTGCTTAGCATTTTTTTAGACAGGGTATTTCTGTGTAATTCAGGGTGGCCTTAAACTCACTATATAGCTCTGGATGGCCCTGAACTCAGTGACCCTCCTGTCTCAATCTTCCATGTGCTGGATTACAGGCATATGCCACCATACATAGTAGCATTTTTAGCTGTAAGGGAAATGCAAATCAAAACTACATTAAATTTCCATCTCACCCCAGTCAAAATGGCTATCATGGAGAGCAATGATGAACAAACCCCATTAAACTAGGTGGCACATGCCTATCATCCCAGCATTTGGGAGGCTGAGGCAGGAGGACCAAAAATTTGAGCTCAGTTTGGACAACTTAGCAAGACCCTCCCTCTAAATTAAAAAAAGTAACAAAAACTTAAAAATGGCTGGAGATAGAGCTCAGTGTGAAGGCCTTATATTTTACCTCTATTACTGAAAAACAGAAACAACAACCAAAACAAAAAAGTCAATGCTGTTTGTAGGGAAATTGTAGGGAAAAAAGAATCCTTCTATATGGGGACATAAATTAGTGCAGGCACTATGGAAATCAGTAAGGGAATTCCTCAAGAAACAAAACATAGAGTTATCATTTGATCTATTTATACCACTTCCTGGTATATGCATGAAGAAATTAAAGTCAGCACACAATAGGGACTCTTGGACACCCATCTTTGCTGTAGCTCACTTCATAGTAGCTAAGATATGGAACCAGCCTAAGTGCCCATCAACAGATGAGTGGAAATAAAAATGTGACACAGACACACCATGGAATATTATTCAACTGTAAAGAAGAATGGGGTTATGCCATTTTCAGGAAAATAAAACCAGAGATCATCATGTTAAATGAAATAAACTATATTCAGAAAGAAAAGTATCAGGTTTTCCCTAATATGTGGAATCTAATAATGATGACTAGAAAGTAGAAGGGAAACTTTATTAGACAAGAAGAAAGGAGGAGGAGCTGTAAGGAATGATAGTAAGTGGCTATAAGGAACAATAAGAGGATAAACATGATCAACATAGATGCATTATGAAACCCAATATTTTGTAAAATTAATAGACACTAATAAGAACATATTTAAATTTTTTTCCTTAAAAATTTAAAAAATGTACAGCTTATAATGGTTTCAAAAAAATTTTCCAATACAGTTTTAATCAAGGTTTAATTGGAATGTGTAAGGCTTTACAATTTTCATTGTCTATGGTGTTAAAATTTTTCTGAACCATTGTCTTTTTCCCCTCACATCATTATATTTCAAAGAGAAAAAAAAAAGAGAATAAAATTTCAAAGCACATCAATCAGGGGGCAACAACAGTACATATCCTGGGCATTGTTATCCCCACATCATTTACCCAGAGCACAGGACTTCTGCATTCAGTTGTTTAAACAACACCAGCACAAATCTTTCTCTCCAATGAACTCAAGAGAAATCAGTAGTATAACTATCTTAACTATTTTTTTATGTTCATATAAGATGTTGTTTCAGCTTCTCATACTAGTGAGACTATAATGTTTACACGTGTCTGATTTATTTCACTTAAGAGTGTGGTCCCAAATTGCGTCTACTTACCTATAAAAGTCTGTAGTTAATCCTTCTTTATGGCCAAGTAGTACTCCATTGTATAAAAATAACCACATCTTTTTTATCCATTCCTCAATCAATGGGTATTTAGGTTATTTTCACAATCTATTTATTATAAACTGTGCTGCTATGAACATGGATGCAGACACATCACTATGGTATGATTTTTTAATTCTTTTATCACAGTAGCTTTATAGTATAATTTCAATTCAGGGATTCTGTTGCCTCCCGTTTTGTCTTTGTGATCCAGGATCACTTTTGTTATTTTAGGTCTCTTCTGTGAGCCATTGTCTTTATTGCATTATTTGGTTATATGTTGTTTTATTAAAATGATGAGTTATCTTTTTTCAGTTTTTTCCTGTCTAAAATATTAGTAGCTGGGAATGATGGTACACACCTATAATTTCAGCACTCTGGAAGACTGAAGCAGTAGCCCAACCTGGTCAATTTAGTGACCTAGTTAGACTCTGTCTCAAAAACTAAAAACGGGATGGGGATGTAGCTGAGCACAAAGGTCCTGGTCACTAATAATAATGGTGACTACAACAATGTGATCAAACACAAGCGCCTTCCTTTTCCATGCTGTCTTCAGTGTGAATACCCCGAAGCAACCCCAATACACATGGCCTCCGCCCTGAGCCTTGGATCTATATCCTCTCAAGAGCGCTTGCCAAGGGAGTGGGAAGCCAACAAATAAGACAGTCTAACAGGCTCAAAAGACTGTAGGTGATGTAGAGCTTATCATGATTAGGAATCCATGATTAGCAATTATTCAAACAGGTCCTGTGTATCTATCTATTCTTGAACTAGCAGAACGTTGGGGCAGAAGAAAATCTAAAATAAATTCAGCAGCAGTGGAATGAGAGAACAAGACCAGGTGACAGCTATAAAGCTATAAAGCTATATTATAGAGAAAAGAGAATACCAGATGGGGCAATAAAGATTTTTTTTTCACTCTGATAAATAGGTGACTGAGAGAGATGGCTATATATTAACTAGTGATGTTTTATTTTATTTTTTATTAATTGCTTTTTTTTTGATACAGGGTCCTGCTTTGTAGTTCTGGCTGGCCTTGAACTCACTGTGTAGCCCAGGCTGGCCTCAAAGTCACAGCAATACTGTGACTTATAGGCATGTGCCACCATGCTCAGCTGTATAGTGATCCATTTTTTAAAAATTCCATTTATTCTCCATTTCCCCCCCAGCACTCCTCAGGCACTAGGAATCACTCACAGTGGTGCTCATGGTCTGTGCTGTTTGTGTGAGCTGAGGAGAGAAGCCAGAAGCCCTACGGCAATGGAAAAGAAGAGAGGCACGGCTCGGGTGCTCCTGGAATGTAGTCTCAGTGACAAGTTGTGTCGTAAGTACAGATATCACAAATGCATAGCCTGTGGTTTCATGGCTAGAGAGACTAGGTTCTGAATAAGTTCTAGAAGGCAGATGATTTGATTTCTATTGGCGACAAAGACCATGGTGGTAAGAGAATGGGACAAAGGGCAATTGTCTCTGGAGCCTACCGGGTAAGTGCCAGTCAGAGATCTCAATGCTGCATCCTTTGTCTCAGGAGAAAAAGTGATAGAAGAGGCACAGCACATGCTTGATGGGCTAAGAAGCAGGGACATTGGGATTTCTAGTAGCCAGAAAGACAGAGAAGATGACATTCTACATATGATGGGATGGAAGGTGGTGAGCAAGGGGTTTGTACAGCATCAGGTCAGACTTCTTACATTCTTCCCTTCCTGTCTGATTGCCTACTCAGTTGTTCAGGGAGAGCAGTATGCGGTGATCATTGTCCCCACTCTGCTGGTTGGTGTGTTCCTCATCCTTCTTGCTGTCATCCTGTGGCTATTTATAAGAGGACAAAGATCCCAACAGCAGCGCCCTGGACGCCGAGGTAAAGCTCAAACATTGGGTTAGGCAGGGGCTCAGAGGAGATGCAAGGAGAAAAATGTGGGCCAAATTTCAGTGGGCCCTGGTCCAGGAATTTTTGAAATGGGAAAAATGGGCTTTTTCCTGTAGAGCTGGGAAGGGTAACCCTTCTCCGGAAGTCCTGAGCTGGATCACCACACAGGCTTGTTGACTGAAAGAGGACACAAGGCAAGAGAGACCACGTATGAACACTTCTGTCCTCCTTGTCCTACTGGACCTTCAAGCCTTTGACTCTAGTAGGGTCTAAGAATCAAGAAGAAAATCTGGAAGGGAAAACCCAAAGGTTTGTTGACATCTTTGTAGGATAAGATTTTACTCCAGCATAATTCCCATCCCTGCCTTCTCCAAAATATATGATGAGAAGAAGTGACCTTCGTGCTCATTTTTGAAGTGTTAGGTAGGAGATACTAATGGGACTCTTCAGGAGTACCAATAATGGTACTTTCACAGAATGAAAGAGAAGCAGCTCATACGTGAAACTAACTGAAACTAAGAAGAAGCAGTTGTGACAGTTATGTAAAACTGTGTACTGTTTGATCCTTAGTCCTCTTCTAAATTTTATGTCAATTCCTTTGCACTTTACTTTTATGGAAAGCTTCTCAAAGAAGCTGTTTACACTCATTCTTGTTATTGCTCATCACAGTCTCTTCTAAACTCACTGAAATAAGGCTCGTATCCCTACCACTCCTCCAAAACAACACTTTCCAAGCTCAACAGCTGATGATCACTTCTTAGTTATTATCTTACTAGGCCTAGAAAAAGCATCAGAAACAATTTTGCACTTCTGCTTTTTTGGAACTTTTTTTTGTGACAGGGTCTTGCTATGTAGTTTTTAGGCTGGCCTGGACTCATTATGCAGCTCAGGTTGGTCTCAAACCCACGATGGTCATCCTGTCTCAGCCTATTGAGTTCTGGGATTACAGGTGTGTCCCACCATGCCCAGCCCTCGAAAATCTTTTTAAAAAAGATTTAAAGTCACCTTATAAATGATATGGTTTTCATCTCTTTGGATTGAAACACTATTTCTATTTTGATTTTGGTTGCTGGCACTCCAGATTCTTATATTAAATCCCCTGTTTTGTAGTTTCAGTATAATACACATCTCATATGCAGCATGTCCAAAATGAAGCTCTGTCTCAGTAAATGGTTTGCAGTTGAAACCCTTGAAGATATCCTTGACTCACTTCTTCTCTCTCACAGTCCATGTCCAGCCCATTAGCAAAACCATAAATAATAAACTGACTCACTTTCGATTCTCACAGATCATTGTAATGCACTCCTAAATTTTTTGCCTACTTGGTCCCTACCCTACCTCTTTATGCTTTGTTTTCCCCTGGGCATTCATTCACCTCCCAAGTTCCTGCTGCATCCTTTACCTCCAGTAGTTTCCTGTCTTGCTCAGAATGAAATGAAACAAAATTCTCTCCAGTGTCTTATGTGATTCAGGACTCCTGGGCCTTATCGTCTGCAATTCTCCCATGATTCACTTGGCTCCATCTGTACTGCTTCTTTATGTTTTCTCAACTGTGTCTTTTCCTAATGCTTGTGTACATCTTGTTCCCTCTCTCTAGGATATTCTCCCTGACACTAGCATGATTTTTTCCCTAATTTTTTCCAAGTCTTCTTCAAATGTCATTTTATCAGAAAGGCCTTTGTTGACCTTTTGATGCTATCAGAAAATAACTTCCCTGAAGCTGCTTCTTTTGTCATTTTTCTCTGTAAACTCATTGCCTCAAATACTATTATTCACACTATCACTAGGAAGTTACCTCCCTAGGAATCTAGACTTTGCCTATTCCAAAAACCCAGAACAGTACCTGTGATACTTGTTGAAGGCATGGATGAATTAATGTTATTATAGATTTAACAATCAGAGTTAATCGTTCTTTTCCAACTGGAGAAAAATTCATTTTGGCTAAAGAAAGTGGAAAGTATTGGGAGCCTGGTTTATTTTTTTAAAACCAAGATTTGAGGAAGTAATTTAACTCTTAGGAAAACTCAAGGAAGAAATAACTACTGCTGCCGGTTGAGGAGATATTCATACTTTTCTTTCAATTTTAGAAGCCGTGTGACTGATTTAAGTGATAGTCCCCATTGGTAGTCAGACCATCTTTAGTGGTTTGGGAGCCATTTGGGAACTTCCTTGTCTCTGTACAACACACTCATGGGGAGCCCTAACTTGTAGTCCTGAGCAAGACAGAGAGGAGATGTCATGATTACTTTCTAGGGGTGCATCTTGAGTTGACCAAGAAATAATAGGGAATATTAAAGAGGCTCTACAAGCTTGGCATTGATATTCATACATGGAGAACTATTGGAAGACATCCTTACACTGGCCAGGGGAAAATTGCTGAAGGACTTTCCTGGATGGTTCTATAGGCTCTCTTCTTTTTATAGGAGCCCCAGGTCAGGAAGAGTCTGGCTCACATCACCTCTTTGTTTCAGGCATTGCTCCCATGCCTTCATCTAGGGGGCTAACCCAGGAAGCACCAGGACATGAAGGAAAAATTGTCATGCCACTTACGGAGACAGCAGTGGGAAGTTTCCTACGGGCTACTGCACCCTCCCTCGCTAAGCTACAGGTACCCCGGGATCAACTCTCTGAAGTTCTGGAGCAGATCCATAAGGGCAGTTGTGGGAACCTTTATCGAGCTACCATGATCACTGGGGACCCGCCTAGGCCCAAGAGGGTTGTGCTCAAGGCTTTGAAAGGTAAAATGAGAAGACTTCCTGCTCCTTTTTACTTCTCCTCAGTAAATGCTAATAAGCTTTGCAAATTTGGAATAAGATTCTGAGATTGATTTTTCATTTTTCTTCACTGTTTAATAATTCTCTTTCTTAATTTCTCTCTTTTTCTTCCTCTGTAAAATAGAACAAAGATAAGATGGGCAAGAATATTAACCAAAAGGTCTAGACAGTGATAAGGTTTCAGTGTGAACAGAACATTCATCTATTTAGGGAGATGAAAGCTTATTCAGTTTAAGATCTATGATTCTATGTGACTTTTGATAAAGGCCAGTGATTTGAACACCATTTTCTTCCAACTAGTCTCCTTTACATTCCTTTTTGTTTATACTTCCTTTCCTGTGAGGCCTGGGGAATTATTGTCTAAAGCTCTTACTACTCCAGCTCTTCTGTCTTCTGCAGAACCAGCCGGGCTCCAGGAGGTGCAGTATTTCGTGGGGCGAATCCAGTTCTATCAGTACCTGGGGAAACATCAGAACCTGGTCCACTTAGAAGGCTGCTGCACAGAAAGGCTGCCACTCTATATGGTGTTGGAAGATGTGGCCCAAGGGAACCTGCTCAGCTTTCTCTGGACCTGTCGCCGGGTGAGCAGTAGAGTAGAGGTGTTAGGAGGGAAAGGCGTAACTGGCTGATTGCCTTTTCACTGTCAATTAGCATGACAAATGACAAAATCTAAGAGAGAATATAATAGTATAGCAGAATACTTTGAGTACCATTGTTTAGTAGAGTGATTGCAATGATAGGAAAGTTCTACTGGGTCTACTGGTACCGCTAGTTATATGTGGCTGTTTCACACCGTAAGTGGCGTATGTGATTGAGAAACTTAATTTTTAATTTTTTTAATTTTAAATACTGTAAGTTTAAACAGACACGAGGCAATTAACAACTCAGGCAGTGCAAACTTAAGAGTGTGGGCTCTTGCCTCTACTAGGTCTTTCACTTTTGATGTTACCTCTTCGCTTTTGAATGTTTTAAATTTGCAAAATGGGAGTCATAACACAATATTTCAAAAAAAATCAAAGACATTATATGTGTAAAAATGTAGCAGTGATTGGCATTTACGATGGCCTCAAAATGATAAGTTACAATAATTATGTAGTATAACTATGATTAATAATGCTTGCAATTCTTTTATTATTACTGTTAAGTATATCATCCATTGTGTAACATCACCCTAGTATGCCAAGCCTGATGAGGGACAAATTTAGCTTGTGAATTTTTGTACCCCAGACTCACATTTCTGATGTTTAGAAATTTCCATCTCAAGTGGAAGTCCTGTCCCTTACAACTCACTTCTGTTCCTTGCTCTGGAGAACTACTTTTGCTCAAGTTTCTTATTTGCACATGAGCAAGTTCAATATTAATCAAATTCCCACAATATGCTAATTATTGTACAACTAGATATGTAGAAGGGACCATGTTGATGTATTTCACCCAGTGATATAAATAGGACAATGTATAGAATGATAAATTAAGCATTTTAAATCTTTTAGGAGGTTATCTATGACTTGATCTATATTCTACTTTTGTTTCTTTTCATTTCAGAACTAACATGCTTCTGTATTTCGGATCATCTGCATATACTTTTCTTAATACATCAGACTTCTCCTTTCTCTTCTTCTCAGCTATGTCCACTCATCCTGAAGACATCATTGAACATTTCTTATTTCCTTCAACTGTATCTGCTCTCGTCAACCACCAGCAAATGCTCTCTTTACTTTGTATACTTCCTTCATAGCAACCATTTGCTTATTTATGATTATTTGATTCTATCTTTGATGCATAGATTCTAGATTTGATGCATATCTGCCACACAATAATCATAGCAGCAGCTATGTTAATTTTACTCACTCTTGTGAAAATGGCACAGTATGAGCCTTCAATAAAGATGTATGTGTTATTGTATTAAATTAACCATGTGTGGATACACACACACACACACACACAAACACACACAGACGCGCGCACGTGCGTGCACAAATATCTCAGAGAAACTGCCCCTATAGTCAATAGATAGTCTTGTAGATAGTCCTGTAGATATTCACTTACCTGTTATTTATCTTCATTCTTCATTATTCTAGTCCAATGACATATTCCTCCGTATTTCAAAAATCTTTTTTATTTGTTTCTTGTAGTGGACTGGTAACTGGTGGTCAGCTTAAATCCAGCTGAACTGCATCGGTGTGCTGCTGAGTGTAGATGGTCCACCTGAGGAAAGTTGCCAGCATAAGAGCATGTGGAAAGGAATACTGTTAGAGTTATGAGTTCTCCTAAGTGTTGTCATTTGGAGTTGCTGGTTCTCTTGGAGGAGCTTGTCATGGCTGGCTTCCTTGATATGAACTCAGCCATTAACACTGGAGGAACTAGGGACCTTGTTGCTGAGAATGGTTGTGGTTCACTTTGGGGGAGCTTCTTATGTTGAGCATCACTTCCTGGCTCCAGAGGGGAAGATGTGTACTGTTTAATCTCCAGGAAAAGTTTGTCACACTGGCTTCCTGACATGTACTCGATTGTTCTCATTGTCAAGGAGCTTAGAACCTCATTATTGCTGAGAATGACTATAATATTTTTCAGGGGAGCCCTGATCTTTATTCTGAGCATTACTTCTTGGCTGTAGTATAGAACCCTCAAGCTATTGGCACAGGTCCTTCATCCCACTGGCATAGACTTTCTAGCTTCTACTGCTGACCTGTGGGCCTTCCCAGCACAGATCCATGAAGCAGACTTGCATGAGTCATTGTCATGGTTTCTGGATTTCCAGTTGGACTCATGGACGGTATAGTCATAGTTGGACTCAGGCAGGATGTTGCTGTGGGATCCAGGTCCTTGGCTGGATTTCCTTGGGTCTTCAGTGTTGTGGATAGATTTCATGCACTTATTTGTGTTTAACTCTTGGGTGCCTATTACCAAATAATAATATAAATGATGTATCCTATATGTGATTGTTCTCCTTGCAACCCCTGACTGTAACATCTCTCTTTGACTCTTAAATTCTTATGTGTTTGTATATAAATATAATTTTTGGCTTTGATGTCTGTATTTCAGAGTATCTCTCATACTTTTTTTTGTTTTTATGAGACAGGATCTCACTATACAGTTCAGGCTGGCCTTGAGCTCACATTGTAGCCCAGGCTGGCCTTGAACTCACAATGAGCCTCCTGCCTCAGCCTCCCAAGTGCTTTGATTACAGGCATGTACCACCATGCCTGGCTTTCTCTCCCATACTTTTTAAAATCACTTATGTTAGTACTACTTTGATAAAATGCTTTTTTCTCTGTTTAGGATGTGATGACCACGGATGGTCTTCTGTATGATCTCACAGAAAAACAAATCTATCACATTGGAAAGCAAGTCCTTCTAGCTCTGGTAAGTTCAGGCAACAGATGGTAGGAATTTTTCTTATTTAGCATTTGATGCACGAGTTTTCATATTCATAGTACCAAACAGATTACATGTTTTTTTTTTTTTTTTTGTCTTTTTTGTTTTTATCGGTACCAGGGATCGAACTCACAACTGCCTGCTTGCAAGGCAGGCGCTTATGCCGCTGAGCTAAATCCCCAGCCCCCAGATTACATGTTTTAAATACATGTTTAATAAGTTAGGGAACAGATACTATTTTAGATTCTTCTTTATACAAATCGTTTAGATAATATAGGATTGTATTTCCAGGCAGAAGGTAGTCCCTGAAAAACAAGGCACATGAGTTTAGAACATGTTTGTTTGGAGACTTGCTTTGATAATAAGTGTGATACGGTGTATAAAAAAATAAGATATGAACGAAAGAGGAAAAATAAGTCACAACAGTGCAATCACTTTATTTTAAACCAACTTGAACAGGTAATAGAACTGTAGGACTAAGAAAAATAATTTAGCTTTATCAGAATTACTAAGGAAATTTAGATGACTATTTCTATAAGTTATAGCATGACACCTTAGAAAGATGTAACCATTTACGTATTTATGATGACTCTAAGTCATATCTGCCACACAATAACCATAGCAGCAGCCATGTTTATTTTGCTCAGTCTCGTGAAAATAGCACAGTATGAGCCAGGCTAGCTCAAACTTGGTGTGATCCTCTTGTCTCAGCCTCCTGAGTGCTGGGATTACAGGTTGTGTGCCACCATGTCTGGCTGTCTTCTCAACCATAATCATAGAGGTGCTCTGTAGGGATGACCTGATCCATGCATGCATCAGTGCTCTGCATTGCTTGTAACAAGGCAATACCATACTATTTATTCCTACTTTTAACAACTTCCAAGTCAATGTATTCTTTAAGTCTTCTAATTACAGTACAATGTAGTGATTCAAAAACCTCAAAAGGGACAGCAAATTGCTGGTCACTGTCTCCTTCATCAATGACTGGAAATGACCACCTTCACCTTTTATTTTCTTTCACCATTCCTGTTTAGTCATCAAACCCTCAATGTCTAGCTTTTCAGTGATGCATAGAACCTCAGCTTCTTTGTATATCTTGAATAAGTTCATGTTTTAGGAAATGACTCTAGCAAACCTTTGTCACAGCTGCAGTGGTTCTTCAATTATTTTTGGTTGTATTAGAATTGTTTTGATTCTGCTTTAAAATATAGGTTACCCATTCTTAGTGGTTTAGTGAACTGGAGTGAAAATCTTGCATTTTTAAAAAAGCTCTCAGGCAATTCTGATTTAGATCATGGCTTGCGAATTGTTACTAGTTTTTGTAGTACTTCCTATTAAGTGCAAGACCTGATTTTGTTCACTGTTACTTAATAATTGTGTGGCCTTGTGTACTCATTTAATCTGAAAGATACCTTAAAGTGCCTCTTTCAAAATGAGATGATGTAAAACTTTGTATATTAATTTTTTTATTTTGTTTGTTTGAGGCAGGGCCTCACTATGTAATTCAGCCTGGCCTTGAACTCATAGTAATCCACCTGCCTCAGCCTCCCAAGTGCTGGGATTAGAGGCATGTGCACTGCATCTGGCTATATAAATTGATTACTATGGCACTCAATTTTGTTATGAGATCTATTTTCTTTTTGAATATCAAACTGGGTTCCGCTTGAGGAGAAAGGGAAATCAAGTGGCCATCAGAGTTCGATACAGGGTGGGTGATTACACTATCAAAATCTAGTATCCGGGCTGGGGATGTAACTCAATGGTACAGTGCTTGCCTATTATGCAAGAGGCCTTGGCTTCAATCCTTAGCACTGCAAAAATAAATATGTAAACAAATAAGTTCACATTTAATATTAGTGTCATTTGGATTATTTGCTCAGCTTGCTAATACTAAACATATGGCAAAAATGTCTTATCCATGACCATGTTTTGAAAGTGATATCTTTATTAATGAGACTTGTTGAGAGTAGAAAATTCCCTTATGTTTTTGATGTTTCCTAGGACTATTTCTCTTATTTGCGAGCTGGGTTTGACTTTCAGGCAGCTGATTAATTGTGATCCTACGCTGACAGGAATTCCTGCAAGATAAGCATCTGTTCCATGGAGATGTGGCGGCCAGAAATATCTTGATCCAAAGTGATCTGACTGCTAAGCTCTGTGGCCTGGGCTTGGCTTATGAAGTCCATGCTCAAGGGGCCATCTCTGCTGCTCGAACTGTTCCGCTCAAGTGGCTCGCTCCTGAGCGGCTTCTCCTGAGAACGGCTGGCATCAAAGGAGACATGTATGGTTTGTCCCTGGCCTCTATGTTTTTGCCTTTCATGACCTGGGTGTCCCCTCTGAATATGATTTTGTGTGTATTGACAAACATGTCTGCAAATGAGATTTCTCTCCTTGGGAGTCATACCTACTCTCAAGCAGAAATGTTATGTGATATATGTGATTCATGTTCAACAATCCTCTTATAGTGTCTTTCCTTCTATATTAAATTAGCAGTATTCACTGAGAATAATGAAGGAAAATGAAAATATTATTCACTGCAATATGTGACAATGTAATCTAGTTGTCTTCAAGGGTGTGTGTTCATGTAAGACCAATTAAGGAATTTCTAAAGTGAATAGAAAACACATATCTCAGATAATGTATTTTAAGTTCAAATATAAATATATATTTATAAACTTAAAGAGCAAAGTTGCATTAAAATTTATTTTTATTAGTACATGTTTGCAGTACATAATGATTGCATACATCATAGGACATTGGTACATATACATTACACATATGAATTCTTGTTAGTTCCCCTTTCCTTTTTTTCCCCAAATCCATTTTATTTGGAGGAGAAAAAGAAGAAAAAACAAACTAAAACAAAATTTCAAAATACATCACTCAGGTGCAACAATGGTGTGTACATTGAGCATTGTCATCCCCAGATCGTTCACTGAGAGCTCAAGATACCTGCATTCAATTGTCCAAACAATACCTGCACAGATCTTTTTCCTCAGTGAACTCAGAAAAATCAGCAGTATAACTATTTTCACTGTTGTATATATTATATATCATATAATATATCATATATCATGTCATTATATGTTATATTATATATGTCATATATAACACACAATTATATATAATATATAATAAATCATATATCATGTATGTCATTATATATTATATAATATAAATGATATATCACATATATGATAATATATGATATATATTATATAATATATAATATATATCATATAATATGATATATAATATATCATATATCATATGTAATGTCATTTTATATTATATATGATATATAATATATCATATATAATATATAATGTCATTTTATATATATATTGTATATTGTGTGTGTATATATATATATACACACACATAATACATCTGACCTCTCTTTAGTTCCTCTTTCTTGCCCTCCCTCTTCTGTTCCTCCATCACTTGGTCCCCTTCCCATTTGTAAAAGATATCAAGCTGCAATATGTGAAGATGTATCTTCTACATGAAGTTATTATGTTGTGTTTATTTAAATAGTATCCACAATAACTAATCTTTCAGTTCCAGTTTGGGATGATTCTAGGCTTAGTGAGAAACGTGAAAACAACTGTGAAACAATTTGATTGGAGATGTTTAAATTTTTCCTGTTTTCTATAGTTGTCTCAACCACACAATTTTACAATTTTATAGCACATTTTTATGGACTATTTTCAAAGAATTCAACTTATTTTTCAGGAACATAACTTTTTTGCACTTTCTATTAAACCAACTTCTGTAATATTTGATTATATAATGGCACACAATTACAGTTAGATGTACAATTGGTGTAAACAGGATTAGTAACCGCATCACTTAACTTCTTAAAGAACCAGGTGGATGTAGAATTTTCTAGTAGCTATTTGTGACAGGGGAAATTTTAAGCGCTAACATGGCAAGTCTGTGAAGAAACTTCTAATTCTACTTCACTCATAGCTGCTTTTCAGTAGACATCTGTAGGTAATAAAGTTAATTATAAACTGGTACTTATTTAATGGTATTATAGGATAGTGTTACTTAGGCAAATACTGATCCTAAGTCTATGTAAAATCTGGTTTGTTGCTAGAAGTGGTGGTGCACGCCTACAACCCCAGCACTGGGCAGGCTAAGGCAGAAAGATCCTTATGAGTTTGATGCCAGCCTGGACTATAAAGTGAGCTCAAGGCTAGTCTGAACTACAGAGAGACCTTGTCTCAAAAAGACAGAAACAAACAAAAACTTGATGTGTTAACATTTTTCTTAGACTTGAGCAATTAGATCAACTGAGAAAATGATGGATAAATGATAAACTTCACTTGGCCTTGTGCTGAGAATAAAGGTTGACATTTCAGCATAAACATGGGAAAGAATACAAGAAGATATGGAGGGAAATTTTTCTTGTGTGTTAGCATTTACACATTAACAGATAATAATAAACATCTATTAATGTGAAATAAAGAATAACACTTAGATCCCGTCTCCAAAGAGATTATAATCTAAAGGAGTTGGAAAAAAATACTTTTAAGTACTTTATCATATCTCTCTCTCTTTTTTTTTTTTTTCTTTTTCCTTTTTATCGGTACGGGGGATCGAACTCACGACTGCCTACTTGTAAAGCAGGCGCTTATGCCGCCGAGCTAAATCCCCAGCCTCGAGTACTTTATCATATCTCTTTGATTCTCTTTCATTACCTTCTTTTTGGTGGTTCTTCTTGGTGGCTTCTGATCTCTCTTTAGGAGAAGAAAAACAGAAATTAAGTGGATGGTTTTGTTTCTTTTACAGCTGGTCATTTGGGATTCTGCTCTATGAGATGGTGACTCTAGGTAAGGGTGATCCCCAAAATAGTGTGACTGTAATATAGATATATACTTTGTGCATGCGTGAACGTGTGTGTGTGTGTCTATTAAATGATGTTTTCTGTGAAAAAGTATTTCAGTACAGCTCTAAATACTGAATTAGGCTGACATGAATTGCAAACCTCATTTCCAAGAAGTCTTATAAAGTGATGATTCCCTCTTTGTCTCTTCTCCCTGTCTTTCTTTTAACTTTGTTTTTGCTGTCTTCCTCTTCCTTTCTTTCCCCCCAAACAATTTCTAAAGGGTGTCTTCAAATATAAAGGATAATTTCCAGAGTGATTTTTATGTAACAAAAGTTTTTTAGACTTATTAATACATTCAGTTAAGAAACTGCAGCCCCTCCCTGAGATATGAAAAGTAGACTGCAAATCTTCATCTTATTTTGTTCTTTCCTAAAGATTCAAGATTCTTCTAACATCAGTTTGAAGCTTTCTCTGAGTTCACCAAGCTTTATCCTTACTTGATCAACAAGGAGTAGCTACGTTATACCTAGCATTCTTCTATGGTCCAAGTTAATGGAGAGCTATGTTATTTGCAGTCTATAGTTTAGAGGGCTGTAACGTTCTCTTGCTATTTTCTCTTTCCATACTGACAGGGGCACCACCATATCCTGAAGTCCCTCCTACCAGCATTCTACAGTATCTTCAGAGAAAGAAAATCATGAAGAGACCTAGTAGTTGCACACACATCATGTAAGTGACTTTTAAAGTTTTTTTTTGATACCAAATGTGTTTTTGTATCCTATCAATTTATACTTGTCAAAATGGCTCAGATGATCCTTAGTTGTTCTTATTTCCTAATGCACAGCCTCAGACCAAACCCATAAGGTGAAACATACTGTACATATATTATATATGCACATATTACATATGTGCAATTTACCTACATAAATAAACATATATATTGTCACACCATGTTGAGGTAACTATATATTACATATATTACAAATCTAATTTTGCTAAAGTTTAGTTCCATAGGAAACTTCCAAAATAGGTAGGAAATAGAACAGATGCAAGGCAACTATAGCATTACTTTATTTGTTTAAACGCCAGTCTTCTGCTGGCTTCAGTTCAAAGATGGATTTCCCTAAAATCCATCACACTACACCTACTTATTCAGAGTATATGGTTCCTTATTTATTACCTAACTTTTGGAATCTGCTCACTCTGTTTTCCCAGCACTCAAAATGATAGAGACCAACCAGAAGAAAGGGTTAGGAAGGAACTAGAAAGCTAGAGAAGGAAGACCTGACACTGTCAGAAGAAAAGGTTAACCAACTTATAAACAGAAAATGAAAAAAACCTACAAATTATACACAGAATCATCATTAATGAAATTAAAAAAGACATAGAACAAAAAAAATTATGAATAAGGAGGCAGAGAATATGTTAATGAACATTTCAATCAGAACTCCTGTTATTTTGTAAAATTTTCAGCACAGAATGGGCAGATTTCTAGAGCTTGTTGTTCCCTGCACTATAATGACTGTATCAAGCAGATGATAAGGTTTAGCTGTCTTAGCTATGTACATGCATATACACAGAGTATAGCAATTTCTGGCAACATAATGAAACTTGGACAAGTATTTCTTGCAGGCTTTCTATGTCTATTTGGCCTTCATACTGGAGGAGACACTTCAGTGACAAAGTATCTAATTTTAAAGAATTTAAGATTTTGATAAGGAGATAACTGAAACCACATGAAAACTGGCAATAGCAGAATTACTAAGAGTTCCATAACAGAGGGGAAAAGATACATGTTTAGTCCTAACCCTGCAACTTCAGGGTAGTCTATTTATAGTGAACAATATGCAGTGAAAAAATCTATCATTCTAGTATAAAAGAGGTCACACCAGGAAGAGGTTATTAAAACCCTATTATATAAAGAGGATGAAAAAGCATGTCAGTCTCTGGGAAGAACATGAGAGAGCGCAAAGAGATTTAAAAATCGCAGGATTTTGTTGGTGTTAAGGTTTGTTGGAAGGAGAGACATGTTTCCCACGTGTCTGCCTGTCTTCCTTGTCCCCTGCACAGGTACAACATCATGAAATCCTGTTGGCACTGGAGTGAGGACTCGCGGCCCTTACCCAAAGAGCTGCGCTCGCGCATAGAAGCTGCCGCTAGAACTGCAGACGACAAGGCTGTGTTACAGGTGCCAGAGCTAGTGGTGCCGGAGCTGTACGCGGCCGTGGCTGGCATCAGCGTAGAGAGCCTCCCCTTCTGCTACAGCATCCTTTGAAGACTGTCAGTAGAGACACATTTTGACAGGTGATCACTTATGGAATCAATTTCTCCAAGAATAGAAAATGGACTTTCTGGTGGGACACCAAGGGGAAAAAGGACACGGATCCTGGATCTTCCTAGAAATCCGCAGTGATGCTGATGAGGTACCACACACCTTGACTTCACAAGCCAGAAACACTGTCAGCCTTGGAGCATTGTCCATTCCTGAAGAACCTGGGCAGAAGTGATATGGATGTCCTTACAAAGGCGGTTTTAAAAATCTGCAATGTTGTGGCTGGGGATTTTAGCTCAGTGGCATACATGCCTTCCTGCCAAGCCTGAGGTTGGGAGCTCGATCCCCAGTACCCCCCCCCCCCAAATCTGCAATGTTTGTTGGTGTAGGCTCCTTCCTCCTACCCCACACTAGTTTATTGCTGAAAAATGTCTTTGACCATATTATTACAAGGTTCAAATGCATTACAATGAAGTAAAGAAACACAAACCCAAATAAAGGAATTGATGAAGAAGAAATTCAAGGTCCTGCTTGCTCAAGAGTATAGGTATGGAGCAAGATCTCCTTTAAGGGGAAATCTGGTTCCCTTTATGCTGAAAGAACATCAAGTCCCTTAATCATGGTCCTTTTGTTCAGAGCTGGAGAACTGTAAGACTTTGTTCAGAGCTGGAGACAGGTGAACCTTGTTTGGTACTATTTTTACAATATTTGTGGAACTTGGAATTGAACTCAGAGCTTTGGCATTGGGCACATCCTTAGCTGTTTTCGAGACACAGTCTCATAACTTGCCCAGAATGGGCTTGATTTGTGATCCTCCTGTCTCCACACACCAGTACTGTGGAACAGGCATGTTCTCTTGCCTGGCTTATACTACTTCTAATTAGATATTGAAGGAATCTTTTAATGATTAGTAACAGTCAACATGTATTTCTCATCAACTTTGCTTCCTAATCCTTGTTAAAACTTGACTCTTGTGAGTAACCAATCATTGATGAAAATACTGTTATTAAAAAAAGAAAGAAAATGCTGTGTGTTAAACAAGAAATGTGGAAACCAAGTGAAAAGTCTTAGCTAAAATGGTCATTAACAAGAGCTAGACAAGAATATAATCTGATACGGACCAACAGCTTCTAATTTCCAATCACTCCTTGATGTGAGGGGTGATTTAATTAAAGAGACACTTCATTAAATTAATATTTATTGAGTGTAAGGAGGCTTTTCTGATATTGAACTGCCAAAATCTCTATAATAGGGAGGTTAAAAATAAATAAATGGAAATTCATGTTAATAGAGATTTCAGGCATGCCTTGAGGTGTAAACTATGTTAGGGAAAAGGAATTCTTTATGCATAAAATGGGGTCGATGACCTGCACACAGGGTTGTTGTGGATTTGTTGAGGATTTGTGAGAATACATATTTGTACAGTATCTGGTGTATAATAATGCATCTGCTCAATGAATTTTTTCTTTTGATCTGCCTATCCCAGGACCATTGATATCTATTTTATTTAAAATATACTGTTGTTAAGAAGACAACTTCAGTCTGACATTGTAAATACACCTAAGGATGGTGGTATGGTACAAGTAGTATGTGGCTAAAATCATGAAGTCAGCTTTTATTTTATTTTTTTGTACTAGAGACTGGTCTCTGCATTGAGCTACACACCTTGCTTTTTTTAAAAAAATAGGGTCTTGCTAAATTGACCAGGCAGCACTCGATTTTTGATCCTCCTGCCTCAGCCCCTCCAAGTGCCAGAATTATAGAAATGTATCACCATGCCTAGCCTGAGGTGAAAACTTTTTGTATGAGCTTGTAAGAGATGAAAATAGTCTCCTACTACTTCAAAATATTTAAAATATCACAGTGAGGAGAATTTGTTGGATAGAGTAATATGTGATTTTAAAGGCCTTTGTAATTATACTAGAAGGGACACCTAAGGCTACTATAGAAGAGATGACTGGCAGCTACAACAGTTGCAGAAGCTGGAATCCTGAGGGAGTCACGATGAGTCAGTTACATGCAGAATGGTTCTTGCCCCTGTGGGAATACCACAGTGAGTAGTCACGGTTTAAATAGGTCATGAGTGACAAGCAGGGAAAAAGCGAGTAAAGTAGCCTCATACAAAATAACATGATACAGAATTTTATTGTTGCCTCTTAGCTATTCATGTAAATTAAAATTTCAAAGCATTTACTTGACTATTTTTAAGAAATTGAATGTTAAAGCTCTTTGTGCCAGCACCGGGCTAAGTGTTGGAAAGAATGAAATAGAGGACTGCTCCTTTTGTATGTTGGTATTTGATTTAGTCTGAGGGAGAAATGTAATAATTGGTTATTTTAAATGTTTACTTCCAGTTTTATTGGCTTTCTGTATATAATTTGGAAACCTGGATCAAGTAATTTTTACTCTAAGAAAATTGGATGTTTGCCTGTTTTCCAGACTTTTTCCAAAAGAATGATTATATTTCTGAGATTCTATTTCTGAAATTTTTGACTTGTCTGCAATATTATATTATTTTTATAATAATGAATAGAAAACAAAATTAAATCTTTACTATTTAAACAAGTTTAATTTGCATAGATTTTGTTTGACTGCCCCTTTATTTTTTCCAATTTATGTTGTATGGCTAAAATAATTCAAGTTAGGAAGTGAGTAAACCTCAGACTATAGTGTCTAATGGGAACTTGAAGTAGTTTAACATAGAATGATCTGAACTAGCAGTTCTCAAATCATGTTCACACAGCACACTAGTAGTTTTTGTGCCACATTTAGGTATGCTGCTTTCAAAATTGAGCAACAGTAATATTTTTTGCTATTTTAAAATAAAAAGGTAGGTTCACAAAATTTTCTTAATCTTAGTTTCGGCTTAAAAATATTTCATGAAAAAGCTTATGTACAAGACTCAAAGTAGATAGAAAGGACTCAAAGTAGAGAAAAAAGCAGCTTTCAATCACAAATGAGACAGTGGTCCTCAGACTCTACTGTCGAAGCATACTGGATACAATCTTCAATATTGTACATCCATTTTAACTGAGCAATCCAAGTTCTGGGATCCAGATATTAGATCTATATATACACAACACTTGTGGTCAGACTTTAAAATTAGTCATGCCAATTTCAAACTGCTTATGATTACAAGTATATGATGTTAACAAGGTGGCAGTACTCAAAGATCTTTTTGTCCAATTTCCATGTATTTTTCTTTTGCTGATTTTCTTTCTGTGGTTCACCCTAAAATTACAGAAGTTATTCATTGAGCATAACAACAGTTACACATTTATGCAAAGTACCTCTACCCATCCCCTTTATCTTAGCCTTTCCATAATAGCCTTTGCTATTTTCTTCCTTCTGGAAATAAGCAGCACAACAATTCCAGCAGCAATTGCTATTGTCACAATCGCAGTAACAGAAATACCAGCTGTTAGGCCCTGCAACGAAAATTCAGATGCTTCTTCATCAACGTAGTAAAGTTTAACCAGGATTCAGATCCAGTTGTTCTCCATTTACCCCAAGGTCTATTTTCTAAGAAAGGAACAAGGGTTCATCTTTAACATCTTTTTCAAATGATAATACACATCAGTTATGTATATATCATGAGTCTTCTGAGAATTTTGCATCAGATCAATAGTGATAGCACTGTTCCCACACAGAATCCTTGTGATAAATTTTGGATTTAGCCGATAACCATTTGTGATACCTCCTGAAGCATAGTCTGTAAACTTTGATGATTGTAAAGCTGCTGTTTTTGTGTTTTGGTTCAATGATAATTCATTAGCTGGTCCTCACCAGCTTGGGGCACTGTATCTGTGTCCTTGTTGGTTCTGTGGATGCTGGCAGTGTTCACACACCAGCACGTGGCAGCACCACTGTGCTGCTTGGCTTTAAAGAGCCTGTTTTCATCACAGTCAGGTCATACAGCCCATGATTGTTCTGGAGTGCTTCTTCAGTTTTTAGGCTTTTCCTAGACTTTAAGTGAATCGTTTGTTGCCTTCAGCATCAGACATTTGGAAGTCAGTGTTGTACAAATGATAGTATTCTGTATACCATAGGAGGGACATTGACACTGATAATTTCTGTTCACAAAGCAATTTATGGTCAACTTGTAGTTTTCACAGTCATGCCCTTACTGTGCTGTGCCCACTGCCATCAGCAGGAAGCCAAATGTGAGGACCTAGGAGGGTGCCGTGCTGTGCTGAGGGGCCAGGGAAGGCAGGACATGCAGGAGCCATGAGATGAGTGAGCTCAGGTGTACAATTGCTGGCTGGCTGCATGATAGAATTTTCTTAATTTTGTTGTACTAATTTAAGAAAATTTTGCTTTGCTTTATTCATTTAAGTAAGAAAAAATCAAGTAGATAAAACAGAAGACCTCAGGATAGCTTTTTTTTTGCATCAAGAATTATCATGACTTTGGGCTTGCAAGGCAGGTACTTATGCCACTGAGCTAAATCCCCAGTCCAACTTCTTTTTTAAATTTAGCTTATTATTCTTAATTATCAGGCACTGTGTTTATCTCTTTTGGGTATAAATTAAATGTAACATTATGTGTTTAAAGTACTTTTTAAAGAGAATCACCATCATACAGAAACACCAAACTTTCTTCACTAGACAGTGTTAAAAAGATAGATATGCCCAATATTAACAGGAAAGTTGTTGAAAAAAGAGAAGGTAAAGGTGGGTGAATGAATTATGGACTGAACTAGACTTCCTTATTCTGGCTTTTCTTTTTAAAACTTTATACCATTTTGGCATGGGTTTTATTTATTTATTTATTTATTTATTTTAAAATTTTATTTAAAGAGAAAAAAGCAAAACAGAAAAAGGCTAGAAATAATACAGAATCTCAAAAAAAATAAACAGTGAGACTGCAAATAGTTCTGTTCAATGATCCAACAGAAACTTAGTAATATGGTTATTAATCCTATATACTTAAATACACATGCAGTTATATCCTTTAGAGCACTTTTTGGCATGGTTTTTAGATCATATTCTACTCTTATTCTTGACTTACTACTTTGATTCATTTCTCTGAATGAGCTACCCTGATAAACTTTACTTTGTAAATAGAAAATCAAAACTAATCAAAGGTGCTGATAAAAATAAAACTATCATCTCTAGTGTTTACCACAACACAGAACATGTTTCTGAAAATCAAAAGTTGGCATGATTTGATCAATTTAAATAGAGTCAAAAGGTAAAAAGGTAAGTGGGTACAGGGGACAAAAAAGGTAGATCAAGATAAAATTTTAGAAAGAAAAAAATTAAGATTACACTAACAATTTTAATAAGAATAATCTCTGATGACAGTTCCCTAAGTTAATTCATCATGATTATGAAATAAACCAAAAACCCCAGTGGGAAACCATTTTATTCATGATTAATGTGCATTTAAGTAAATCATTAACATTCAATTTCAGTTGGAGTTGGAAATAAAATGTTTACTTCTTGCCTACATCAAAACTACACAATGTTTTTTGACATTAACTATTGTGTTAGCAGAGGCAGAGCAGTATTTTGGTTTCACATAAGCAACTCAAACATTTATTTTCATAAGTAAACTATGGTTATATAAGTAATAATGTCCTAATTTAGAGTCAATAGCATATAAAATTGAAAAACATTCACAAAATATTGTCACTATTTCCAACACGATACATGAAAAACTTAGGTAACTGCTCATTGACCCTGTAGCCACTTGTCATCTGAAGCTATTTAAATGCTAATGTATATTAATCAAAATTAAGAATTCAGTACTTCAGTTATACAAGCCACATTTTAAGTGTTCAGCAGTCATACATAACATTTTCATATTGCTTTAATATACCTGAGAAGACCACCAAAACTTATGTTTTATTACTTTGAAATACTTGTTAACACAAAAGTTATCTTTTTTGGCTTAAAATATGAAGAGTTAACAATAGTTTCATATTTCACCTTAAAGACAAACAGGGTTATAGAAGAATAAATGAAGTCAAGTCTTTTTAGAGGAACAAGATAGTAAGGGCTTCACTTAGAAAGATCTTCATTATTTTGTGCATTCTACAACCTTTAGTCTTAATGTCTGTTACCTATAGTCTATTTAAGTGGACATTAAGATGAACATGAGTGTACACACACCAAAACCCTGAGGGAAATATATTAGATAATTTGAAGAGATTATATGAAACTTTATTTTATAGAGTTCAGCCAGTGGATCATAACTGACATTTAAAAAAATTATTCTTGTGGTAAATACTGTCCAATTCATCCTAGGTTTTCTGTGAGTTTCCAAGTTTTAAAAGAAAATGTCACATTTTAAGAAATTCTAGGACCCTGGGAAAACTGGAAAGACTAGTCATCTTAGAGATAGAGATAGGGTTTTGTTTTTTACGTATTTTCCAAAACAGCAGTCTTTGTTGAGGTTGAATAATTATATTAATAATTAAATAACTACATAATATCCTGTATGTATATAACTATGTATTCATTTGGACTCAAGATGACCTGCTCCAGCTTGCCTCTCTAGTAGGTTAACGTCCATGAATTTTATATTCTAGTTATATTCGTTTTCCCCCAGATATACTTTCACTTTCAGTTATCTTCTGCTTTCCATCCCACAGAACTTATTCATCTTCAGTTAAGTAACGCCTGTCACAAGCCGCCTTTGATGGCTTCCTATTTTCCAATTTTTAAAACCCCGTCTGCTATAAAATGACTTACTTCCTTTGATGTACGGTGCCAGCATGTTACAGTTCTTACGCTTATGTTTGCCTTACATGTTTGCTTTGCATTCAAAGTCCAACTGGCTCTCTTTATTCCTAGTTTTCAATTGTCTTCCGGAACAAAGGAAATGCTTGTTAAAATTCATGTTGTATAAATTTCAAGATCATTTTATATACATTGTCTCATCTGTTCTTACCAATTCTGTGCGCTTTGCAAGCCTAATTGCTTTATTATCTATTTGGCTTAGAGATACTCACTTGTTCAAGGTTAAGTAGTGATAGTGTTGGGATTGTCTCATACGATTCTCTATTACATTCACTTAAGACTATCATTCACCAGGCAGAATTACTCTGCAGTGGTAAAAGGAAGGTAATTTATAATATTTCCAAAGCATGCTGTATAAAAGTTCTTTATTCTCCGTCACGCCGAAACATTTTTTTCTCCTCCCCAATTTAATTAAGTCTGTATGACAAGAAACGCGGGTCAAACCATTACTTGATGTTAAGTCAAACTGTTAAAAGTTCACAAGCCATTAAAAGTTATAAATTACATTAAAGGTCTTCAATACCATGACTGTTAGGATTTTTATTTTCCTTTTTTTTTTTGACCATAGTTTTGGGTGTGGAAGGATTTTTCAGTTCAGTGTCATTTTCGAAACTTCAACTCTCCCCTGTTGGATTCCTTCTACTTTCTCTTACAGGTTTTTGGCAGCGTGATAACTAGCAATCACTATCTAGTGCCCCACTAGGAATCAATCAGAGAGAAACATATATTGTAGGTCCGCCAGTGTTTCTGGCTTTTATCTTTAGTCATCTCAAGATTAGAGGAAAACAAAACCACACCCACGTCACAGCAAACCGACAATTGAAAGCGGGTGTAAAATAACTCACAAAACCTTTGTTGTAAACCCACAGAAATGCCACTACATTTGTACGCTTCTTTCCTAAAATAACGTAACCCACTTAATTTTGCTATCGTTCTTATGTTGGCACAACGAAGCCAATCGGCCAAGGCCCCTTCTGGCCACCAAGGCACTCACGCGAGACGTCGCATGCAAATATTGGCCTTGAGGTCCCGGAAGCGGAAGAGACGCGCCTGCACCGACGCACTGACTCTGCGCGACTGACGTCACTTCCAAGCGTCTGGCGGCACGTTGACGGTGCTTTCGGCGCCTTTCCCAGGAACAATGTCTATGGGTAGCGATTTCTACTTGCGCTACTATGTAGGACACAAGGGAAAGTTCGGACACGAGTTTCTGGAGTTCGAGTTTCGGCCAGATGGTGAGCAGTAGAGGGATCTCTGTCCCCGCGGCGGAGTGCGGGGCTGGGAAGAAAGAATCGGGCGGGGAGGCCGCGGGGCTACGCGGAGCGCTGAGTGCGCAGCCTCGCTAGATTGGAGTGGGATCGCGGGCCCTGCGTAGGTCGCGTAAAGAGTTTAAGAATGTTGGAGGCCAAAGCTGTTTGTGAATAATAAAAAAATTTTTGCGGTAAATTAATTCAGCAAAACTGATGCTGCCACAAAGTACAAAGTTGAACCTATACTGTAATAATGGGAACCCTACAATCAGCACACTGAGAAAGGAAGACTTAGTGTCTAAATATTTTAAGGTTCATCCTCTCCGAGCCGTGGTCCAGTGCATACTTAATCTTTTTACCACTTTCATTCATTCATTTTAGTCGATCAGGTTGTAGGTGTTGAGGCTGCTGTAATTTTTTATTATTGTAGGGGAAGAGGCCGACATATAAGTAAAATGAGTATAATGTGTTACAGTTGTTTTCCAAAGGGATGTATTGTCAACAGTACAAAGAGAGAAGGGACTCTGCAGCAGGGAGTCAAGAAAAGCTTTCTAGAGGAGGAGAAACCTGAGATTGAGTCTAGAAATGAGAGAGTGTATTTTCTTGGCTTCTCAGGGAAAAATAAAACCAGACTCTGAGCCGCAGGAGCAGAGGGTTAATAGAACCACTACCCATGTAGTGTGTGGCAGATTTTCGTTTTTTTTTCTTCTTGAGACAGGGTCTCGCTATGTAGTTCAGATTGGCCTTGAACTCATTGTGTCACCCAGACTTGCCTCGAATTTACCGTGATCCTCCTGCCTCGCCCTTTCTGTGTTGGGATTATAGACCTGTGCTACCACCCTGACTAGCTTCAGCTTTGTCTTTTGACAGCTGTGATTATTTACAAAATACATTGTATACTGAACTTCTTTCACCCGCAACAAGAAGAGTTTAAGCTAAGCAGATTTTTTAAAAGTCTATCAGGTCCTGGGCAACATGTAAATTCAAAAATTTAAGGTATGGAAATGAGTATGACTTAATTTCCCTCAAGGAGTCATATCTTGATGGAAACATAAACATGCAGCTAACTATAAAACAGTATGGATAGTAAGTGCTCTATATATTTTGGACAAGATTCTGAGAGCATGAGAGAAAAATTAAGAGAAGATCACGTATAAGGAAGCAGAAGAGTATTAAGCATTTCAGGCAGGACTCAAGGTAACTACAACCCTGCAATTATGTAGAAACCCTAATCACCTTACTGATCCTTGTCCTTCCCATGTCTTTTTAAAATTTAGTTGAGGTGCTAAACTTACCAGAATTTATCTGTTGTTTTATTTCTTTTTCTTTTTTTCCTCTTGTACTATTGTTTTCAGTTCCCTTGTCTTTAAACATACAGTTTATCTATATGACTCTTTGCCATACATATAAATGAAGTGCCCCAATGGTATCAAGGAAATTTCCTGCTGGAACAGGACATTCACCACATCATTCCACTGAATTATAATGGTATATTGGTAATACTGCATCACAAAACTGCAGTTCCTAAGGGGTAGGCCCCACTAAGGTAACCTAGGATCAGGAGCACATATGCCTGTATTTGGGCATCAGATTAGCCATGTGAGCAAGTGTGTAACAAAGTACAATTCATGATGGGTTGAAATTAAATATAAATCAACTAACAGGTCATTTTTACCCAAGAGTAGCACATAGTTTGTGTGCTTCTTAATCACAGTTATAAAAAGTTAGCATTACTATACTTATATACACATTAATTTGAAAATAATTAAAAGATAATTTTGAAGAAAGCCAGCATTGGAAAGAATTAGATCTAGATCTATGTGATGTTTACTTTGTTTTCTCAGCTCTGAATAGGTGAGAGAATAGAACCTGCTTTTTAGAATTATATTCCAAATTAGTGAAATGTTTTAACTAAATATACCAACACGTATATCAGACTTTAAGAGAAATAGTAATTTGTTTTTCAGATTTCCTTTTTAGGTCATGAAATAGTTTCAGAAAATAAGCCTAAGAAATGACCTATCATATATCGAAAGCATGGAATATTTTAAAATTTGGCTAGCTTATTATCAGTCAGGTTTCCAGACAGTATGGAGTGTAACATGTCTAGCATTGATCTTAAGAGCAGGTAGGAGGAAAGATTAATTAAAGTGGTAGTGCATCTGGGCATGGTATATCATGTCCTTAATCTTAACACCGGGAGAGGAGTGTCACAAGTTTGAGCCCAACCTGAGAACTTAGTGACTTAGACCCTGCTCCCTGCAAAAAAACACCCCAAAACAAACAAAAACTTTTTAAAAGGCCTGCAGTATAGTGCAGTGCAGAGTCCAGAGTTCAATACTCACTGTTAAAAAAAGCAAAAGTAATCTTTACCTTCAAAACTGTTTATAATGTCATTTCTTTATTTTTTAATTTTTAGCAGTTTCTGCTGTTGTAGACTGAATTTTTTTTCCACTCTTCACAGGAAAGCTTAGATATGCCAACAATAGCAATTACAAAAATGATGTCATGATCAGAAAAGAGGTAAGTTCTTTTCAAGTAGGGACTTTTCCCTACTTTTTTTTTTTAGGTTTAGTCCATTTTCTTCATGTCTGTGTTAAATTTGCAAAAATTCATCCTAAGACTATATTTTTAAAATACCAGTTTATAGATTGAAAAGTTTTCATTTCATTTACATGTGGTTGTTGCATTGATAATAACACGAGAAGCAATTTGAATGTAGTAACTTGCAGTCCGATATTTGAAAGTAATTGTTTTGTTCACTTTATAGTTATCTTTCTATTCACTTCACAATTTAAAAGTAATGGATTATCATGATACAAGCAGTATGATTTTCAAGTGAGAGATTCAGAAATTAGGGATAAGAAAGTTCAGAGTATTGTGACGTGTACTTAGATTTTTCTCTTCACCTTGCAGACCTCGTATTATCACTGTTAGCCGTTTAAGTCCCCATGTGACAATTTGAAAGGATTTTAAATACTAGAAGAGTGTATAGGAAGTGGAGATAAATGGTATCTTTACTTCTGCAATCAGGATTAAATTTATTTGTAGTACTCTATTGAATTTTAGGGATTGGTGACTCATTGTTTCCTTGTAAGTTGTGGAAAAACATAGGTGCACGTTATGAAGTTTTATCATCATTGATTTTCAGGCATATGTCCACAAAAGTGTAATGGAAGAACTGAAGAGAATTATTGATGATAGCGAAATTACAAAAGAAGATGATGCTTTGTGGCCACCTCCTGACAGGGTTGGCCGGCAGGTTTGTTTTTGTGATTATTTATCTAAAAATATTATAAATTTTTAATATAATAATATTTTCCAGTGTTAGAGTAATTCCTTATGAATTCTTCATCACTTAACCTCTTTTTTTGAATGTGGTGCCAAGAGATGAACCCAGAATTTTGCAAAGCAGAACATGTGTTCTCCCACTAAACCACACCTCCAGTTCCTACTTAACTTCATTTTCTGCCCTGAAGGAATCAGTGCATAGTGCTAAATGTAGACATTTTTCTGAAGAGTTTTCTCTGTAGCTACCCTGCCAGAGTTAGGATGTTTTCACAATGTTAATGAATAATTTCTGCTCTATGTTAGTTTATTATGAGTGTTTACAATGTAGTTGTTAAGTTGATATAGGATCCTCAGTAAGTATATATAATTTACTTCTTTGAAATGTATAACTTCCAGAATAACTATTTGTATCCATATGCCCCAATTACCTGTTCAATTTGGGTTTTTTGTTCAAACTGACCATTGCACTTGATTCTCATATTCACGGTAGAAAAGCTCTGTTTCTCAAAGGGCTTTTGAAAAACTTTGAATGCCTAATTTCACTCTGTGGAAATAGTTTGATTTCTGAATTAAGTCTTTGCAACTTTTGGAGAAATAAGATACAATCCTTGGAAGAAAGAAATATTTAATTTCACTTTGTTATATTCTTGAAAATTATACTTTATATCATATTCTTTGATTAGAGAAAAATGGAGAAATCTAACAGATGCTGACAGTAATAGTAATTTAACTCTGCTATTTAAAGAAACGTTGTTTAGGAAAACAGGCAATAGTTGTATTTATTTTATGCATTATATTGCTTATAGAAAATAGCTATAGATCCCAATTTGTTTTATGCATTTATATATGCTAATATTTTATGTTTTTTAGACTTAGAGAAAGCTCGGTGTTTTACCGCCAACTTGATGTGTCCATGGGTTTTGGTTAGTGGACAGCAGCAGGTGTGCTCTGGAAATTATCTGTTGGATCATTATGCCAGAATTTTGCAGTTGTTAGAGAATTTTACTTAACTCTCCATTTAATATATGCCATAAACTATATGATTAGGTCACCTATTAAGAATATAGCTAGGACTGTCTTTAGTGATGTTTGTTAATTTAATTTGAAAACTCATTGCACAATAACTCCTTAAATACTAATTTTAGATTTGTAGGTATAAACAGTATAGAGAAAATTTATACAATAATATGGCTGCTAGGAAAAACTATATGTTGTATTTGTTTTACAGGTTTTTAATTGTAATTGATGAATTAAAAAAGGATTAGTCCTCAAGTCTTAACAGTCTTGAAAACAAATATTGCTAGTATCACTTATTAGTGATTGTAAATATCATCAAGTATTTTCCTATGCTTTATGAGTTTGGTACATTTGTAAAGTAAACCTAAAAACGGTTATCTTGCTAGGTTATTTTAGGCATTACAGAAATGTGAAGTCTCAGAAACAGGGACTGATACATACTAGGTGCTAAGGTGGCAGCTTTTATTAATATACATTTTATTTGCAGAATCTTGTAGCAAGGAAAATGTATTTATGTTTGATGTACTAAAAATAAGTTTATACTTTTGTAATTGTAACACATGGTTTGAAGTGATGCCTTGAGTTGACACTATAAGAAACTTGTGTCATGTTTTAATGTCTGCTTAATGACAATTCTGGAAAGCAATTCTTGGTTGGCTCTGTCATTTGGGGAGTAATTATGAACAATGACGTTTTCTATTTTAAGGATTCAGTATATTCCTTAACATGTTCCATCCCCTCCCCTTTATTTCTGTTGACTGCTCGAAAATTTACAGCTGAAAATGAAACTTCTCTCTGGCAAGAATGCAGATTATCTCTGTGATAGACTTTTATGTTAACTATTTCTTTGATTTTTTTATTTTAGGAACTTGAAATTGTAATTGGAGATGAACACATTTCTTTTACCACATCAAAGATAGGTTCTCTTATTGATGTAAATCAGTCAAAGTAAGTATATTAAAACATTTTGGCTAAATTACCTAATTTATTACTGACTTATTTTAGAACTATAGACTGTTTGTGAGTCAATAATGGTGTCCATTGCAGATCTGATTCTGGGTTTTATGTCCTTAAAGATTCATTATCTTGTTTATCAGAGACGATAGCAGGGTCTTTTACCACCTAAAGATCATTTCACCCAAAATTAGGCTTATTGTAATCTGGTCCATAATTAGTATAATTCATATATTATCCATAGTGATTCCTGGTATGTGTTATCTATTTTGAGTAGAAGTCTGGGTACATTGTCTCATTAGCTCTATATTGTTTCATTCTTTTCTGTGTTTTAATACTTTAAAAAGTGGCAAAAATCCAGTTTGGTACTATTTTAATTTAGTCTCTGTCCATTCGTCTTTGCCATAGTAATTTCATGCAAGCATCTATTTGAAAGAAATATCCTCAAATATTAGTAAAGCTTTATTATGCATAAAGATGATCACTGAAGCATTATTCATAACTGGAAATAATTCATATGTTTAACAAGGAGACAATAGTTAAAATTTATCAGTGAAGTCTTTTTTTTTTAATGCTGTGAAAAAAGTAGTATAAAAATACAGAAAATGGTTTTAGTTACGGAGAAAAAAAAGAATACCCAAATGTTTATTGTCAGTTTGTAGGGTAGAAGCACTGCAGAACTATTATGAGTAGTTTATTTTTCATTATGTATTTTTGTGATGCATAGCTATTACTTTCTATAAGGAGATAAACACTTTAAATGTGAAAATAAATACTGATGAAAAAACTTTTTTTCTTTACAAAACAGATAGAGGTAAATTAACAGTTGGTTCAGTTTGTTAGCAAAATTTCTCCTAAATTCCATGAACTTAATTGTTACAGGCTTTTGATTTTCAGGAATTTGTAAAATTATGTTTCATTAGGATCAACAAACTAACTTCTACCTTTTTAAATTTTAGGGATCCTGAAGGCCTTCGAGTATTTTACTATTTGGTACAAGACTTGAAATGTTTAGTTTTTAGTCTCATTGGATTACACTTCAAGATTAAGCCAATTTAAGTTGTGTATATGTGAAGATCTTTGTATATTTGAGGGGTGGGGAAGGGAGGACTTGTCATTTATAATACTAAGATTTTTATGAATGTGAAAACAAATTTTTTGTATGTAAACTGAACATAGGAAAATATATAAACAGGCTTAATGGTTTTTCTTCCTTGGGTCTAAGTAAGTAAGACTATCCACATACACATGAAATTTTGTAAATAAAAGCCACTTTTTGTTGAAATTTTGCTTTAATAAAACATACCGAAGCCTGAATGGAAAGTTTTTGTTTTCTTTTTGGGAAGTTGTGTCTGTGGTTCACTTTAGACATAAGAAATTGTTGTAGTAGATACATCCTACGGCAGGAATTCTTGCAGGTAGACTTAGGTAGCCAAATTGCTGTTTATTAAAGACGGTTGCTGTCTTCCCTTATTTATCCCATACTGATAGGATTTACTTACTATTTACTGAAGTTGTTTACAGAAGGTTCTGGATTTTTTTTATATATTAATTACAAACCCTTCAGAGATACATGACCTTTAAGTATTTTTGGTTATAAGCAGTAACTGTCTAAAGTGTTAAAAGAGTGTAGACAATACCCCAAGTTAGGCATGTCTTTGATCATACCTTTCTTCCTTATTTGTATGTGAACTGAATGACTTCAGTTTAAAATGTAATTTATTCCCTGCCCCCCCCCCCTTTTTTTTTAAATTTTGAGACGGTCTTGCTATGTAGTTTAGGCAGGCCTTGAACTCTCACTATGTAGTCCAGGATGGCTTTGGACTTACAGTGATCTTACTGCCTCAGTCTCCCAAGTGCTGAAGTTATAGGTATATGCCATCACACCTGGCCTAAATTGTGTTGAACAGTTTTGCATGATTGAGGATTGTGTATTTTTTTTAACTTTTAATGAATATAGGTCTCACTCATTTCCTAGTTCCTTTCAAAGTCTTTCTGATAGAATTCATTTTCATTATTTCCACTAGTAATTACAATGGTATTTCTCCTGCCTCTAAACTCCTACTCTGAAGGTCTATCCTGGAAGTTATAATCTGCCTGCCCCAGGGACCAGTCAGTACTGTTGTTAGGACAGGAGGGCTTCTGAGGTTCTCTGTGACTCCTCAGCTGCTAGAAGCAGAATGACCATGTCCAGTACTATTTTTTTTTTTTGCAAAAATGGAAGTGTTCTGTATTGATGTAGCCCAAGCCACACACGTCTGTTGACTGTACCTGTTGGGAAGAGTAGCTCTAGAATGTGTGTGTTTAACATCTTGCCACATTGAATAAAGATGAATTATCTCCAGTCCTATAAAAATACATAGAATAGTTAATGTGTATAAGTAATGAAACTTTAAGGTATTTTTTATTGTAGCATTTAAAAAGACAATATAAATGAAATGAGTGGAATTTTCTTTGGTGCCAGGGATCAAACTCATACTTGCTAGGCAACAAGTGGGATTTTAACCTTTCTTTTGTGACTAATGTTTTAGCATCAGTTTTGTGGAAGCTGCAATTCTTAGTTCTTAAGGTGCTTATCAGAAATGTTAAATTTTACTTTTCACAGTAGGATGAAGTAGCAGTCACAGCATTTTATTGGGCAGGTCAAGTGAATGCAGTCCAATACATGCAGGTTCTGATTGGACTGGATGTGTTGGGCATAGGAGTTGGTACTGCACTGAGCTCTGTTCAGAGCACCATAGTAACCAGTGTAGTCTTTGCTTGGGCACCTTGCAATTCAGGCATGAAAGAGTTCTGAAAATCACACCATGGTGTTCAAAGTTTATGAGCCTCTGGGGTGCATTAGTAGCTGGGCAGGCCTATGGGTTGGATGCACCTACTTTGAAGTCTGACCACGCAGCCTGTCTGCCTTTGAGCACAGCTGGGTTCCTGGTGCTCTCTGAAAATGCATGCCCATTCTCTTTAAGTCAGCTGCTCTCCACATCATTGTGCAGGACAGTCCTCTTTAGCCTGAGATTTCTTGTGTGATTATTTTTGTTCAAGTTGCAGGTCTTGGTGAACGTACAGTGTAAAAGACTTTATAATTCTCCTTGTCACCTAAATGTCAGCCAGAAGAAAGGGGAGCAGTTGCTTTTGAACCCTTCATGTGGTCAGTTAGGGTGTTCCTCAAGACAGGCATTTGGTTCCTGTTGAATAAGATTATCCTCTCAAAGACTGAACAAGGTTGGGAAGAAATAGTCCTTAGATTTAAAAACCTTTAATTTACTAAGTGCTGTGCTCTCTTTCTTCTACTATTTATTTATTTATTTTGTTCTTTCCCACTACACTGATTCTCCTCATATTGATTATGTACTTTTACATTTTAATGTTTTTAGACACTGTGGTTCAGGCTGGCCTTGAACTCATAGTGATCCTTCTGGTGTCGGTATTATTACACCAAACCTATTTAGATCAAGACTAGAGATCAGGTCCTTAGGATGCATTTTTTTTCATATTTTTGTGTTTGATTTTCTATGTTGTTTGAGCTGTCTCTTGACTGATAGGCAGTGGTCACTGGGAACTGAATTTTATGTAGTACTAATTTGAGGTGAAACTAGTTTTTTATTGCACTCAGATCAGTCAATCTATGTTCCTTGTTGGCTCCTCCCTTAATGAGACCTCATGCACTAGTCAGTGCTTTTGTAGGTGCATCAGCATCCACCTTTTCCCTTCGTGGGGTGGTAAACCACGTACCTAACACCTAGAAGTTTCTCTTTCTTGCCTTTTAAAATTTTTAATATTTAAAAACTTGGAGATGAGGCCTTGGTAAATTGCTAACCTGTCTTGACTGGGCGCAAACTTTTGTTTTTTGTCCTGTCAACTTCCTAGAGTCAGATTGCAGGCATGTGTCACTCTGCCCTGCTAACAGTTGTTTTTGTGTAGTAAGTGATTTGTAGAAGTTTCCTTGGTTACTTTGCTTTGTCCTCACTGCCTTCAGATTATTATTAAACTCATAATTTAGTCTGTAGTGGTCATTTGGTTGCTATGGGAACCTATATTTACCACAAATCTTTCCACATGTGAATACACCAGAGAACTGTAAAGTTAAACATAGATGAGGGTGTGTCTCTTGCATGTGGTGTAGCTGTGGTTCTATTTTCCGATGTATAGCCTGATACACTTTAACTTTGATTGACCAAAGCTGCACACACAGCACAATGATTGACTGAACTCCCATTCTGCTTAAGTGTACAGTCTCCGCCCCCCAAATTTATACACATGACAAGAAAAGAAAGCTTGTATAAACATTTTAATACTAAATTCATTGAGACATTGTGAGTTTAATACTAGTTACCTTTGGCTTCTACAGTTTGGTCTCTAAGGGCCAACAGTGTGGTGGGTTTTCTGTGATATACAACATCCTCTAGGGTCACCATTATGAGGGTAACACCATCTGTTGAACAAACATCAGATTTCCTGAAGTGTGTGTACATTTTCTTTTTGTGGCAGACTATATTTTATTTTGACTTTCCAGGTTTTGTGCCTCTGCTTCTTATAGCTAAGTGAATAGGCAAGTATTTTGTTGATGTAGAGCTGGGTCTGTTCACATACACCAGCTTACTGTTCAACTGTTTTGTCTTGATTGAAGATGTGAGTATGAATATGGATTATGCTATACGTTCTACCACTGATCCCTAGTATTAATTGATTGTAACATTAATAGCTAATAAACTAGAATTTTGCACCCCATGTAACTAAAATATTAATGTAAGGTAAAAGAATAATTTGACTGATGGTGACCTCAGAGCCTGCCTGGGCAGACACCCCAAATGAGAGCTGCTCGAAGGATATCTACATTGTCCCACTTCTCTGAACTGGGTTATACGGTAGGGGGAGCCCTGATTTAAGGACCAAAAATCTTAATTATAGATGAATACTTTCAATGTTTAATGTACTTTATTCCTTAGTGGCACAGAATTCAAACAGCCATCTGATACCCTTTTTTGTTATTCTTTTATTATTTTTATTTAATTCTGAGGTGTCCCCATTTGGTTACTTTTATTGTTGGAGCCTCATCTGGGACAAGAGTGTTGTAAATCCAGAGCATTAGAATGTCTTTTAAAAAGGACAGTTGTTGGGTGTGCTGGTGCACACTTATAATCCCAGTATTTAGGAGGCTGAGGCAGGAGGCTCACTGAATTAGAGGCCAGCTTGCCAGCCTGAGCTGCATAGTAAAACCCTGTTTAAAAGAAAAGACAAATGGAGTGGTTAGAGGAACCGGAAATGTGAGAATAGAGGTGTCTTCATTTTTTACTATTAGAGCCTGAAATTTAGTGTCTTAAATTTGCACAGTGGTATAAAAGGTATTAGGAAAAATAAGGAAATGGGAACCTGACCAGGAGTGATTACTCTCCTAATGAAGTGATTTTTGCCCTCCAAACTCCCCTCCACCTAGTTATTATTCCAGATGTCTTCACTTCAGTTGGGGACAGGAAGAGCAGCATGCAGCTGTGACATGATCAAGCCACTGAGGTTTGAAGTGTGACCGGAAGGTTAGAGGGTGTGGCCAGCTGTGTGCGAAGTCTCTAGCTAACTGTATCAGTAGGAAAGAATAGGTAGAATGTGGTTTCTGAAGGCTGCAGAAAAATAAATGAAAACTTTATATATTCATGTTTATGTGCATATATGTGTTTTGCACAAAAATGAACTTTGGAAAACAATTCAAAAAATTCTTTAGATTTCTCATCTTTCTGTTTCCTTACCTGCTTGTGTTAACGTTTAGTACTTTGATGTTGTGCTGTTTTAATCAGAGTCAAGTTAGGAGTTTCAATCCATCCCATCTGAAGTTAGTTATCCTCTAATATTATCTTCTCACCGAAAAAAAGAAGTTTGCCTTTGCTAGAAATGCAATGATTAGTAATAAAAAGAAAATAGAACTTAGAGGTAGCAGCTACACACTCTGGTGTTCCAATTGGTATCATTCTGCCTCTTTCTAAAACTATGAGATCTCAGATTTTATAATGAAGTTCTCTTAACTTTGTCCTCTTTGTCCATTAAGTATGTTGGTAGGTATCATACCTCTTGGGTTACTTTTATAATAATCAACAAGATAGATATGGTATTCACCCTTCTGGACTTTATGTTAGTGCTGCTGAACAACATGTAAAACATCTTTAAAAAAGAAATGTGCTCTGTATTTGTTCAGCCTGCACCCTGAGGATTGTCCTTCCTCTCACCAACTAAAGGATTGTAAATCAAAACAGAAAATAACATTACTAGAATCACCAGGGGCAAGTAAAAAAAGAATCTTTAGATTCGAGGCTATGGAATGGTTTTTCTAGAGCAGAGGTGCATATGTGTTCCAGCTCCTAAATTATGTTAATGTATCATCCCCACCTTTCAACCTCTGCACTCCAAGTTTGATATGGTAGAATAGAAAACCTAGCTCACTGTGCCTTAATTCTTTGTTGCTGTAATATCTGGGACTGGTCATTTACAAGAGGTTTATTCTATACAGATCATGATTTTGGAGGCTGGAAAGTTCAAGATCAGAGAGTCACTTCTGATGAAAGCCTCATTTTGCTTTAACTTATGGCAGAACGTGGAAGGGTAACTAGGTATGTATGTAAGAGACAGCATAAAAGGACTGTTCTGTGAGGTGGTGAATTCTCTCAGGAGAACAGCATTAATTCATTCATGGGGCTTTGTCTCCTGTGACTCAAACATTTCCCTTTTGGGCCCACATGCCAATATGGTTACTTTGGGATCTAAGTTTCAACACAAGTTTTGATGGGACAAACCATATTCAAGACATAGAAGTTTTTCAGGATGTCTGGATAGCAGTCCTGTGGCTTCTTTGTAGAAATTTAGGAAAGGAAAATAAAAGCAGAAAGAAAAAAATTAAAATGTAAGGCATCCTATCTGTAGTCCTATCTGTACTGCTAATTGCATTGGATTTCCCCAAGCCAATGAAATGGGTGACACTCTTACTGAACATGTGAAGATACTCTTATTGAACATGAGAAGAAACTGAGCCTTGAAGATTCACAAAGATTTGTTCAAATTTTATGGTTAGGAAGTATTTGAATCTTGGACTTCAAATCATAGTATTTTACTTTCAGTAAGAGTTTACTGTATGTATGCCATGTTATAGTCAAGCCCGTTACTTAGCAAATGCTCATAGCAGCCTTGGTAGGCTATCATCACTATGGTGAATCCAGGACATAGAGAATTACAAAGCCACACAAAGGAGCTACAGCTGGTATTTCAACTATATCTGCCTGGTTCCAGAATCCACACTTCGCAGCAAGAGCTTTATTGAATATCAAAGCCTTTCTGAGTCTAAGGCTCTTCGTATTCAACTAGATCTTACTTTACTTAATATTTTATTTTTTGAAGTACGAGGCTCAAACACAGGGCCTTCTGTGTTCATTCTAGGCAAGTGTCCTAACACTGGGAAATACCAGCAGTCAGGTCATGTTTTGAACTTGGTTGAAGAAGTAACATTAATGTGAATTTAATCAAGTTAGTTATCAAATTAAAGTTATTTTTTCAGAGAACCAAGTGGCTGTTTAGCTCAGAATGAGGAATGTATAGCCTATGACCATCTTTCCTTTCCGTCAGCATCAGCTTTAAATCATACAATTTCCTCTTTTCATTTCGTTCAACAGGAGGGGGAGAAAATTTGAGCTGGAGCATCATTCAAAGGCATTTCCTTTCCGCCTTTTATCTTATAACCTCTAAGAGGTCTAGGACAGTGAAAGCCAGTATATGTCTCCTTTTAGGGTCAGTTCCTTTTACTGGCATCACTACATAGCTCATATACAGGTAAGATCTGTTTTTATTCCTTTGGGTGTTTGAGCACGTTATTCTTTTGTTCTGGAGATGTAGAATTTCATTACAAATGGCATGAGAAGGAGGTTGATAGAAAAACATTCTTTACTAATTGCATACTGAGAAGTACATTAATTATAAAAGATGTAAACTTTTTAGTTTGCAGTCATAGAAGGTTTATGATCTTTTTGTGTTGTCAAAATGGAGAGGAATTGGGGGAAGAAGGAGAAATTATTTTTTACTTGGTCCTAATGGTTTACATGTTATCTTATCCATCTTGAAGGATTCTATAAAAGTCTTCCTTTTCTTAGGAAACTAGGGAAAATGAGAATAATTAAGTTTGAGCAATTTTATAAATTAAAATAATTAGAAAAGAATAAGGTTATATGTGCAGTTTGTTTTTCACAGTTTCTGTTTGCTGGAGATCGTCTTTCCTACTGATTAATGTCAAAAAAAAATTTAAATATTTACTATTTAATATTTATTTCTATATTGATACCTGTTTAGATTCTATCCTTTATGGATGCTAAATAGTGAGTGCTTATTGACAAATTTTATTTTCACATAGATTCTTCTAGCAACAGCATACTAGAAAATTATAAAATTTTCAAATACATGGGATCATTGGGAATTAAAAATAGAGGTGTTCAGTCTCCAAAGAAGAGATTTTTATTTACCAATTTTGTACAGAGTATTGAATCTGAAACATTAATCCTCAGATAATTCTGTTTCAGTGAGTATTGAGAGCACACTTTGGGAAATACCGTTGGAGTCACGTACAGTTGTTAAGAATGTAAGAATATTTTTATATTTCATGCATATTGAAATGTGTATGTTTCTAAAGACCAAACATACTTACATTTTTTCAGAATGCTTTGAATTCTTCTTATTTGAATTGATAGTATTTAGTGATTTGAGTTGGTACCCATTTTGCCTAATATTTTAAAGCATATATTTGCCATTTTGAGCAAAACTGGTTGGGTCAATAGGACAGTAATGTATTGGTAGAAGTTTTTGTTCCCTTCATATTTTCTAATAACCATGGCTGTGACCATTGGAAGTATAAATGATTTGAACAGAAACGTTGAAAGCTGCATAAATCTGGCTTAGTTTACAAGCCTTAGGCACTTAAAGGTATTAATAAACACGTGTCCACAGACACATGTACATATCCCTGTCTTCTCATGGGCTGACGTTTTAATTTTTTTTCTAGACAGTAATTGTCTCACAGCAAAATTTTACTGCAAAGCATAGTTCTCTTCTAGTGTAAAGATGAGCAATGAAGAGGTGACTTATTCAACCTTGAGATTTCTTCAGTCTCCTTCAGAGGCACAAAATAGACCAAGACCTGATGTTGCTGAAAGGCCTAGAAAAGCTGAGGCCAAAGGTATACGTTCTAAGCATCTAACATAACCTGTTTCTTATGACTTTCTAAGTTTTTGACATTTGGAGAAAAAGTCTTACCTTCTCCTTCTCATCGTCAGCTAGCAGTACAAAACCATAATGGGACAGTGTAGCAGAATAGGAGTCTCCTGTGAGAACAGAGGGATAAATACATTCTTTTAAATTTGAGAAAGTAGGAGATGATTATTATTCAAATATGGTCAAGAATTTGTGAGTCCTTTGAAAATAAAGTCTGAAGAAACGCTGCATAACAGATTTAGAAAAATGAAAAATGTATGTTTAACAATATTTGCACCTAGATAAAAGTGTTTTAGATGTTTTAAAATTTACCAGATGTTAGCCGGGCTTGGTAGTGCATGCCTGTAATCCCACCACTCAGGAGGCTGAGACAAGAGGGTCGTTGTGAGTTCGGGACTAGCCTGGGCTGCAAAGTGAGCTCAAGGCCAGCCTGAACTACATAGCAAGACCTTGTCTCAAAAAGACGAAAAAAAAATTTTTTTTTTTTTGCCAAATCTTAATAGCAGTGAAATGAGAAAAATGTTTAGATCAGAAGATAAATTCTAATTTTTCTATTCCCTCTTTATTTCTATTCTCCCACATCAAATATTGTCATAATTAAACTCTAAATTGAAAGCTTCTATTTCTTTGATTTAGCGATAGATAGAGGTACAACTTTTTTTTTTTTGTTGATACAGGGTATCGAACTCACGACCACATGCTTACAAGGCAGGCGCTTATGCCGTTGAGCTAAATCCCCAGGCCCAGGGTACAACCTTCTGATGATAAAGATCTCATGAGCACAAGGATAAGTAGAGTATTGTCTAGAGAAAAGTAGAGCTGATGACAAAGAAAAGAAGCAGATTTCTAGAAACTCCTTTAAGGATGGACCCCCTATCATATTTCCAGCTTCAGAGTATCCATGATTTATTACCAGTTTCTCAAGACTATTGGTTGAGTTTTCTTCTCTCTTTATGATTGATTTTGTGGTCACATGGAGGAGCATATATGCCAATTTGGATACTCTAATTTTTACTATGTCTATTGCCTTTGGTGCTTTTGAAATCATATAGAAATGGTTCCATATGTAGAATTTTGACAATGGTTGTATGTCTTCCAGAAGTCTAAAACTTTAAAACTATAGTTCTGTTTGTTAAACTATAATTATTTTCTTTCTTTGTTCTTCTTCTTCTTTCTTTTCTTTCTTTTTTTTTTTTTTTTTTGGTACCGGGGATTAAACTCATAACCTTGCACTTACCAAGCAAGTGCTTGAACCACTGAGCTAAATCTCCAGCCCTTTAAACTGACGTTCTTATATTAGAAATTTAAATCAGTTTGTATAGCATCATTTTATAAAATATTGTCCCCTGGTTTCAGTGGTGTCCTTGGATAATGTTAGTAGTAGACCGCGTTCTTTCCCTGATGATTAATTTTCTTCTTCTTTTTTTTTTTATCTAAAGGATTTACAGTGCCCTGGCATCTCATTGCAGCAGCTCTTGGGATCCTTTGCTTACTTTTGTTGCTGGCAGTTGTCCTGTTGGTGACAAAGAGTGAGTAATTGAGATACATCTTTCGCACATCTACCAGCATTAGACATGAATCATGCAGATATTAGCCATGTTCCATCCATTGTCTCCTGTCTGTCATCAGTGAATTCCCAGAGGCCTCTGGGCTTTGTTAGTTTTTTTTTTTTTTTCTCTCCAGGATCCGTCACAGTGTCACAGTGTTATTTGAAACTTTTTGTTTCTCTATTTCATTGACTCTAAGGCTGTGGTGAGCTGTCTTGTTCCATCTTATCCATGCCATGTTCCTTCCGATAGAGAACTTAGTGACGTTCTGCCATCTGAGTTTAGGTCACCGTGACTCTGAGATGAGCATTCATGGGGAAACAGCTCTTTGAAAGGAGTGATGGCCTTCTCATGATTTTCTCCTAAGCGTATAATGAGGAAATGGTTTACAATGAATCTGTATCTGAATGTAAAATGATTTTGTATTTAAGCTTTCTCTTTTGTTTAAATTCCTACACAGTTTTAGAGAAAATCACTAATATGCTACCCTCTGATCAAATTAGATATCTGGTTATTACTCTCTTTTATCCTGTGGATATTCCATCTGTTCTAATCATAATGATGCCATCTCTTCATGATTCTGAATTCAGACTTTTTCCTCAGAAGCTTTTAGTGAGCTGACTTTTACTTTGTTTTTTTTTTTTTGTAAATGATACATTGTTAAATAAGATCTAAGACATAAGGTATTATCATCATAATTTTACTCAGATATTTTATTTTATTTATTTTGTTTAACTTGTTAACAGTGAGAAATTTGATGTTTCCATTTCTTTGGTCAGTTCACAGAGGTGTTACTTTCTAAATGTCAAATTACTAATTAAAGTAGCAATGTAAGTTGGTTGTCACGGTGAGACTTTTTCTAATTTTAATATTACTCATTATGAGTATTTTTTGTATCATATCTATGTTATTAACTTTAGTTTTTCAAGAAAATGAAAAGGAGAAAGTTCTGGAAGACCTCAGCCAAGCTCACATTACACAAAATGTAAGCTCTTTACAAAAACTTTTGAAAAATGTGACTTCAGAATGCAACATTCTTAAAAACAAAATGGATAAAGAAAAAACGGATCTAAAGTTTTGTTTTTGGAGCAGAGGTCACGGGAAAGATAAAATCTTTGCAAAACCTTTGGAAAATATAGGTATGTTGGAAATCTTTATCTCTACTTCTATGAATTTTACTATTTTAGATACTCCATTTAAGTGAAATCATAAATATTTTTTTTCTTTCTATGGCTGATTTATTTTACTGAGCACAACATCTTCAAGGTTCATTCATCTTGTTACATGGCAGAATTTACTTCTTTTTAGAGGATACTTTCCTCATATGTAAACAAATTTTACTTCCCCTTTCATCTAGCAGTAGATACTTAGGTTGTTTCCTGTCCATTGTGAATCATGCTACATTGAAGATGGGAATGTATATACCTCTTGGCAATCCAGAATCTTGATGAACTGTGTATTATCATTTTACTGAGAGCTATGGCATTTTTATTTAGTTACACAAGTCTGATAAATATATTGCTCTGATTTACAAAATATTCGGTAACAAGAAATTTAATGATTCTTCTATGTTGTAGGGAAAACTTGTGAAGTGTGCTTGACCTGCTATCGAGTAAAGTGTTATTATTTTATTATTGATAATAAAACCTGGGAGAAATGTAAGCAGATTTGTCAAAATCAAGGATTATCCCTTTTGAAGATAGACGATAAAGATGAACAGGTAATATAGACTGTTACATTCACTTCTATTCTCTTGGACTTTGTCTCCCAGCCTGGGGCCTAAGACAATGAGGACCTCCAACTAGTCTTTGGCCACTGTTGTAAGTTAGGAGTCTCTCATGAGACATCTGCCTGCTGAGAAGCATAGGGTCCTGCTAATTACTAACTGCTCAGTACATACCATCTATTATGATGGTCCTTGCCATCTTTCTAAGGCTCTCTTTCTAAGGTGTCTGCAGAAGAGCCTCATGGAGAAGTATGTCTTTTTCTGGATAAAACTGAGCTCACTGGTAAAGTGGATCTAATAATTGTTTATTCCTATTGAGTGGCAACCAGAAAGCAAGAAGCAGCATAACCTAGGTGTTACCATTAGGAACCCAAGCAACTGACTGGGGATAACACCCATCTTTACCACATACTAGCCAGATGAGCTTAGGTAAACTAGTTAATCTCTCTGGGTCTGTCTGAAAAAAAAATAGAGGTGATAATGTCAAGTATGAATGTATTAACCAATGTTGCCATTTAGGTTTGGGGTGATTTTCATTGCATCTGCCATTAGATAATAATTATTTGATCAGTGTTCTGATAAATAAAGATGTGTCTTTAAAGACAATTATAAAAAGTAAAAATATATTAGCAATGCTACCATATTGAAAATTTAATTTTTATTGATTACTAAGGAAAATCATCTGCATTCTCAATATGTGTTTTCATAGAGAAATAAAATTTAGCCTGAAACTACTATTTATCATTTAGGAAAAGAACACAAAATTTGTATATAAATTTGATAAAAAACAATAATATCAAGTCATGATATAATTTTCTGTTTGATAGAGTAAAATACAAAGATAAGCCTATAATTTAAAACATATTCACTCATTTAATCAAACATTATGTGCTGTGTCACTATGAAGAACTATATTTTAACTCTAGTCAATACTTTTAAATATCGCCTCTTTTCTCCTAACTACTAAACTACAGAAAGTCTTTCTCTTAGAAGAAGCTTTAATGCACATTTTCACGTACCCTTTTTATTTTGATCAATTTGTTTGAAGATTATTTCTTTCACTTTATATTATGAGATCATCATTTTTCAGAATCCCTCAGCATGCTGGCACATGGGTTTGAGTAGTGTCATAAAGTGTACAAAATTATTTAATGAATATCCAATTGCACAACACTTAGGTTTTATATTTTTCTGAATGTTTAATAATTTGTGTCACTGATATTCATTTTTAAGATAAAGAATGTATTAGTGGAAAATCACTTCAGAAAAGGCAAACACAGGGGCTGAGGGGAGAGAGGGTGAGGAAGTAGGAGAGCTCTGGCCTCAGGAACAGCTGACTCCTCTGCCTGGCTTTCTTCTTGTTCACCTAAAAGATGAGACTTTGTTCCATGATAAATTTTGTTTCATTTACAGGACTTCCTTTCACGCCAGGTTCGTCCAAAGCAGTACTGGACTGGGCTATTTTTTGACACAAGTGAAAACAGATGGAAGTGGATGGATGCTGGCCGCTCTTCTGGAATGTGAGTTTCTGGAGTGTATTTGGAGTCTACCATAAATGCGGGTGTTGGGTGGATTGTATTTAAAAGCATGTTCTCTAACTTCTGACAGCCAATCCCATTTCCAAATGGAGGTTATCAGAACAGGGACAATGAGTGAAAGGTGTTTGAGAAAGCCCAGTTCAAAAAGGAAGAGAAGTGTCAGACAGTTACTAATCGTAACAAAGGCACAGTGCTCTAGAGTATGTGTTGCAGGTGCACAGAATAAAACAAAACAAATTTTAAGCTGATAGGAAGTGATTGGCTATCTTGATTTCTAAGAAATCTTTGGACCTCGGTGGTGGTGTGGTTACTGGGGTCAGGTGTGAGGTCTCAGTAAGAAGGCCAAGGTCTCAAGAGGTTCTCGTGGTGAGGAACACATTTTCTTTAATGGAGAGAAGCAGAATCTTGTGAGCCTGGTCACAACTTCAGCTTTCCATTTAACTACTTAGCAGCTATGTGTTTACTCTGTGTTTTTGGGCAGAGGTCAGACAGGTATCACCAGTTTGGCGGTGAATTTAACACCTCAGAATGCTGACTCTATGCTCTATGTGTTTCTGTGTATAGTGAGCATCTACTTGGTCATTTCTTCCTTTTCAGCCCATGTTGATCACACATTTACTTTATTGCTGAACCTTATCCATAACCAATTTTAGTGATTATCAGTTTACCTTCCCTTTATTAACATGTCTTATGTGTTCTGTCTATGCCTCACGGGCTACTTTGTTTTATTTTTCTTCTTTATTTCTTTGTTTTTCTTCCGGTAGTAAATTACATGAAAAATGCTTTGGTTTGAATTCTTAGGAGAGAGCTTCTCTTCTGTTTAAACCCAAGGTTCAAGACAGTTCTAGTGTTATTTCTGCTGAAAATTTATCCCTTTGAAGGCTCAGCCTTATGCAGTTTGGGTGGATTCATTATTTAGAATCTAAGTCTTGGGTGGATTTAGAATTCATCCTATGATTTCCCCCTGGGAAAACTGGTAGCAGTGTTTCACTTACCCTCAAACTCCTCACCTTTCCTTAAACTCCAGCCGGGTTAGGAATTGCTTCTCACCAGGGTATGAACTGACTGAACAAGAGTCCAATCTTTTCTTTTTAAACTGTCTTTATTAGGAAGAGTTCTGGCACTTGGTACACCATTTGGCTGAAACAGAAGTCTTGCTTGGAAGGGGTATTCAGTGGATTCACATCTTTTAACAAATACGTAACTGTTATCTGCGGGGTGGGGAGAATGAAACAAAACATCAAATAAACTTTATGTGGGTTTATATTCTAATTCTCTTTTTGTTCTTAAAATATAGGCATATGAGACCTGATTGTCTATGTGGCAAAAATATGCTTCTTCTTTTAATATCTTATTTTTGTTGAAAGCAATTGGCAAAGCAGGCCTGGTGTCTCATAATTGCATGATAATATTGCAAATTACTTTTGTCTGATGATTAAAGACCTGCCATTTTGGAACAGAATGGGGCATATAGGCCATTATTCTATTAATGGGCTAAAAATGAAAGCAGATCTTTAATGATGAATTTATGGTTAATACTTCCATGCTCTACGTAGTGTAATTAAAAAAATCATTATTTGTGTCATGGTAAACTTCAGAATTATACAGTTGCCTACGTTTTCTGTTCTACAGTAATGTTACCATAATGAATAAACTTCCTACGGATGGAAAATGTGCATTTTTAACTTCAGCAAGAATATCAAGTATTCCCTGTGATAACGCCTACTCCTGTATCTGTGAAAAGAGAATGGATGCTACTTTCCCTGCCTCGGTGTGCAGGAAGGAAGAAAGGTAAATATGGAGTGCTGTCGTTTTTGTGTTTCCTGTAATAGTTTGTAATTACTTACAAATCAATACTTCGACTGCAGGCCTTAGTCTGTTATGGAGATGAGCCCGAGAGGGAAGAAAACGTTCTTTTGGAACGTGACTTCAGAGGTCAGAAGCCACTGTTCTTCCTGCAGAAGAGGTGGAGACTGTGTCTTTGGGAGCCGCTTCCCTTTTCTTTGATCACCTTGAAAAATTAGTATTTCTGTACCTGAACTACTTACAGGACAAATTAAAGAACCTTGATAAACAGTTTGTGTCTTTTCCTTATTCATAGGGGAAATCATTTCGAAATCTTGTCATCCTGATATCATAAAAGAGAAGCAGAACAGCAGGCACATTGGTGAATTCTTGTAATCCCAACACTCTGGGAGGCTGAGGCAGGAGGATCTCAAGTCTGAGCCCTTGCTGGACAACTTAGTGAGATCAAAATACTAGGCAACAATTACATTATAGTTATATATGTTTCTTCTTTGATCTAGATTACCCTATTTTTAAAAAAATTATATTTCTATAAATGATTTGCAAACTTACTGAATAGTTGAAAGTATATTATAAGACACTCCCATGTATCCCTTGTATAGTTATCAGTTGCTTATATTTTGCTGCCGTGATCAGAATCCAGAAATTTAGCATTGGCGCAGTACTCTGACCCAAACTGTCATCTAGGTTCTATTGGCCCCATAGTATCACTTGCAGGTCTCTCTCCTCCATGCCCATCCATTCAGTCGTGACGCCTTTTAGCGCTCTTCAGTCTGAAAAAGTTCTTCCCTCCTTGTTTTTCTTGACTTTGAGAATCTAAAAATAATCTTGAGTTATATTTTGCATATAATAAAGCATAACATCTTGGAGTCGTGAGGAATAAAGGTTTTAACAAATACACACACTTCTTTTACACTATCGAAATGACACATAGCGCATTTCCATCACCTCTGAGGGTTCCTTCTAGCCTCTCACAGATACAGGGCCGTTCGCAGTTAGTGACATGCTTTCTTCCACTGCAAACACACCCTGCCTGTTGCTCAATTTCATGCTTCATGTGTTCTGTATGTGGTTTCTTTTTGCTGAACACGTTTTTCAAATTAATCCCTGGTTTTTCATGTATCAATATTTCATTCTTTTGTTACAAAATAGTATCCTATTTATAAGTGTACCACCATGTAAAAAATTTATTTACCTATGGATATTTCATGTGTTTCCAATTTTTGGTTATTATAAATAAAGTTGCCATGTATATTTGTACACAAGTATCTGTGTAGATTTTTAATTGCATTTATCTAAAGATGATACTGAGTACCATTTCATGTATTGATTGGTTATTTGTAAACTTCCTTTTGGAAACTATCTATCTTTGTTTCACTTTTAAAAATTGACTTTGTTTTCTAATTAAAATGCTGTGAGAATTCCTTATATAATTTGGATATAAACTTTTTAGTAAATGTATGTACTATACTTTTCCCTAGTCTGTGTCTTGCCTCTTCATTTTTTAATGTTTGTTTCTCATCTAAAAATCTTTGATGTATCAAGATTGCAGAGATTTTGTGCTGTGATTGCTTTTTGAAGGCTTAAAGTTTTAATTTACATGCTTAAGTTATGTTAATTTCAAGTGAATATGTGTGAGAAGAGGGTTGAGGTTCACAATGATTCCATCTGGATATCTGTTGTTTTTACACTATTTTTTGAAAATCCTTTCTGTTTTACCAATTACTTTAGTGTCTTTACAGAAATTAATTGATTAAGGGGCTGGGAATTTAGCTCAGCAGCATAAATGCCTTGCTTGCAAGCTCCTAGTCGTGAGTTCCATCCCCAGTACCGATAAAAAAAAAAAAAAGAAATTAATTGATTATATCAGTGTGCTCAGTTTCTAGATTCTGTATTCAGTCTCAGTAACCTGTGTAATCTAAATTCTTGCAGTAACACGATAATGTCTCAATTATTATTACCGAATTCCTTGTGATGAAATATGTTAATTCTTCAAATTCATTTATCTGCAAAAATATATTGGCTATTTCATGTTATTACACTTACTCAAAATTTCTTAAATAATGATGTTGAGATTCTAACTGGAACTGCATTGACTCTGTGGATTAAGTTGGAAGAACTGATATTTTAAGAATATTAAGTGCTAGAATTTATGACTATAATTTATCTTTCCATTCAGTTCCTTTTTAAGTTCTCTCAGCAATGTGTTACATTTTGTTATATAAATCCTATATACATTGTGTTAAATTTATGGGATCTTTGGTGTTACTTTAAAAGATACTTAAACTTTTTTCCAAATTGTTTATTATTGGATTGTAGAAATAAAATTCCTTTTCACAAATTTACCTTGTTCTCTGACCTTGCTAATTTTATTTTTTTTCAGTAGTTTTTTTTTGTGGCATTTTAAGATTTTTTCTGCTCTATGTTCACAACCATGTATTTATTCTAAGAATATAGAAAGCTTTCTTTTTCTTTCCTTTGGTTAATTGCAGTAACTAGGAACTTCAGTACAATGTTAAAGAGAATTGACAATAGTACATTTCCTTTCCTTTTTCCTAGCATTACACAAGCAAGTATTAGCCTTTCAAAATTATGTTTGTGGTCAGCTGTAATTTTTTTCTTTCATTTCTTTGACCACGTTGAGGAAATGCCCTTCCACTGTTACTTTATTAAGTTTCCTTGTGTGTGGGATTTCATTTTTATTGTATGCCTTCATCTGCACTAAGAGAAATGACTCTATAGATTCTCTCTTTTAGTCACAGATACAGTTTTGGTGTAGTTTGTCCCCCAAGGTTTGTGTGCCAGATCTCTGTCACTGGTGTCAGTTTAAGTGGGGGAGAGGTGTAGTGCTCAGTCACTGGGTCATTGGGGTGCTGCTGGGGAAGGGACTAACGCTCTTCCTGAGAGTGCACTGTCATGCATAGAGCAAGATAGCGCCCCTCTACTCTCCGGCTCCTGTCTCCCCATGTGAGTGCTCCCTTTGCTCTGCTTCCGCCATGATAATAGCTGCCATGTGGCACAGACCCTCACTAGAGAGCCTGGACAGAAGAAACCACCGACCCTGGATGTCCAGCCTCCAACATGAGAAGCTGAATAAATCTCTTATATACAAGTGACTCAGTCTGGGGTGTGTTATTATAGCAGCAAGAAACTGATTAATGCAGCCATTATGTTGAAAAAAGTCCTCTTTAACAAATGGTCCTGGGAAAGCTGAAAATCAACCCGTAGAAAGCTGAGACTGAATCTTTGTCTCTCACTCTGTAAAATCTCAATTCAAAATAGATCAAAGATCTTGGTATAAGACCTGGAACTCTGAAACTGTTAGGAGAAAACAGAAAGACAACACTTGAACATATAGATACAGGCAAAGGCTTCCTTAATAGGACTCCAATAGCTAAAAGAAACAGTAGCAGGATCAACAACTCACATTACACAAAATTTAAAGGTTTTGGCACAGTAAGGGAAGCAAAGTAAAAAGACAACCTGCAGAATGGAAGAAAATGTTTACCTTTTACCCTTCCAATACAAGACTAATCCCTAGAACATATAAAAACTAAAAAGTTTTAATACCAAAAAATAAAATAGTGAATGAACAAATGGACAAATAAGTTTACAAACACTTTCCAAAAAGAGAAGTGAAATGATCAATAAGTATATGAAAAATGTTCAACATCATTAGCCATTAGGGATATGCAAACCCAAATGACACTGTCATTCTGTCTCCTGCCACTCTGAATAGATGTCGTGGGAATACAAAAATGGTAACTACTGGCAAGCTTGTGATGAAGAAGTAACTTTTATATACCATAGGTGGGAAGGTAAATAAGGATAGCCACTATGGAAATTGGTATGATAATTCCTCAACTCCCCCCCAAAACAAAACTAAAAACAGAGCTGTTATTTGATCCAACTGTACCACTCCATTAAAACCAGTATATGTTGTAGTCAGGGGTTGTGAAGAGAACAATTACATGCAGGACACAGAATTTATAATACTATTCTATGATGGTCACCCGGAGTTACATATAAGAAAGTGCAGGAAATCCGTCCACCACACTAAAGACTGAATATTCAGCCTACAGCTTGGATCCTAAAGCAATGTCCTGTATGAGTCAGATGGAGGCCTAGAGCCCATGACAAGGACTCATGCCAGTCTGTTTTATGTGTCTGCACTGGGAAGGCCCAAAGGTCAAAGGTGAAGGGTAGAAAGTCTATGGCAGTTGAGTGAAGGAGCTGTGCCAGTAGATTGAGGGTTCCACACTGGAGATGAGAAGTCACATTCAAAATAAGGACCAGGGCTGCCCTAAAAAGTCCCAGAGCCATCCTCAGTGACATGGAGGTCCCCAGCTCCTCCAGTGATAAGAACAGTGGAGTACATACCAGGAGGCCAGTGTAACAGCTCATCCTGGAGGTTAAACAGCACGCATCGCATCTTCCCCTCCAGAGCCAGGAAACGATGCTCAGCGTAAGGACCTGGGCTCCCCCAAAGTGAACCACTGCACTCTCAGTGACAAGATCCCAAGCTTTTCCAATGATAGTTGCTGAATTCATAATGGGAAAGCTAGCCATGACAAGCTCTTATAGAAGAACCAATGGCTCAAAACAGCAACACTTAGGAGAACGCACAATGCCCAGCTCTTCTATTCTATGTCTCTATGCTGGAACTTTCCTCAGGTGAGCCATCTATACTCAGCACAATGCTGATTTAATTCTTCTGGTATTAAACTGACCATCAGTTTTTAATCCGTAACAGTATACTATATTCATTGCCACACAATTCACAACAGCCACAACATGGAACCAGTCAAGGTACCCACCAACAGATGAATAGATACAGACAATGTGATTTTTATATATCAGAGGATTATTCACCACAGAGAACAAAATTTTGCCGTTTGTAAGCAAATGGACATATCTGAATTTCATGTTGAAAAAAATAAGCCAGATTCAGAAAGGCAACTATTGTATGTTCTATATGGAATCTAGAAAAAGGCATGACAAGCATGTAAAAAAGGAGACTATTAGAAAAGAGGAAGAGAGAAAGGGGGTGGAGGGGTAAGGGTGGGTAACAGGTGGGATGGACATGATCAAAACCTATGTACTGATCCCCTCAAAGCAAAGTGGAGTGTGGCGGGGAAAAGGGAATCATGGGAGTGAAGATGGTTAAAGTGTGTTATGTACATCAATAAATCTGCCAAAATGAAACCCATTTATCTCTGTAACCAATATGCACTAATAAGAAAGACTTTGCAGAGAAGAAAAATGCCAAA